GACATTGCTTTAAAACTGTTCTCTGGCTATTCTTTTTTTTTTACGATCGCGTAGATGGAATTTACACGGTTTACACTGTCACAACATGAAACACATGTACGATAAATTGCGAACGAAATGTCGATCACGATTCCGTTTCTATGATTTTCGCTGCGAAGATTTACGCTTGTTAATCTATATTCTAAAACTAATCGTTCCTCGACCGAGTGACAACACATTAATCAATTATTTATTTCCCTTCCTTTGCTTTTCTCACGATCCGCTACACGTTAATCCGCACGAACAAACCCGTCCGCAAAAATCTCTGTCACCGTCTTCGAAATCGGAACACGGACCACCACCGGCCAACGTTACTTGGACTATTTTCATTGTCTCCCGTCGTTGTCCATCCCGTCCCGATTAGTGTAGCACCTACTATGATCACAGGTATGACAATCTAAAACACGCGACAAACAAAAAGGATCCCAGGAGGCACAAGTACGAGACAAAGGGACTGTCCATCGTGAATCTGTTGTTCAGTGCAGCTAGTGGCGACGTCACCGCGTTAAGAAGGTTCGTGGAATCGACTTATTCATGAGTCAAAGCGATTAACTCCATTTTTACAATATTTTCAAATTGTACTGAAATTCTTGATTAATTCTCTACGTATGTAGTAAATGTTGAGTTGTTCTATTTCCCGTTCTATAGAGTTGATCGCTTTGGCAAATAAATTGCTCGATTACCGATCGAATGTTGCCTTATAATTCGAATCAGCGAGAAAAGGGCGAGGTGCGATATTATTCCAATTTTAGACATCGACTAAGCGGCATGGACATGACGCTGTCGGATTATGACGGCAGGACAGCCCTGCATTTGGCAGCCAGTGAAGGCCACCTAGATTGCGTCGAATTTCTGATCGAACAGTGCGCCGTACCTCACGACCCCAAGGACAGGTAAACCTGATTGAACACCGTGTTCAAGCAATTTAACAGACAATCCGATTGACTCAAAACGTTCGGAGATTTAACAAAGTTTTGCACAAAGAATTTCCTTTTTACCTATCTCGCGCAGATACCTACATTAATTTGGTTTATCAATTATTTTCTATAGAGCGATGCATTTTAAAAGAATTTAGTATCTATAATGTAACAGGACTATCGATGTGTACAAGACGTCGTTTGCAATTTTAGAACAAAAACATCAAAGTCTTTCCAGCGCAAAGAAGTTAATCGCGTTCATCGTTTCAGGTGGGGAAAACGACCGGTAGACGAAGCGGAAACCTTCGGGCACATGCATGTGGTCGAGTATCTGAATAATTACGCGATAGCCCGTAAAACGGAATTAGAGAATACGCAAGAACAAGCCGACAACGAGAAAACGGACTCAAGGAACGTCGTGGAGACCACTGCTCGAACTCCGCTACCTTAAACGAAGATTTAGATAGGGTATTTTTCATGGGAAACATGACGCGTGTGTTGCGTGTATGATGCGTGCCTGTGCGCGTGTGTGCGTGTGCATGTGGATAGGAAAAGAAACACGTGGGACACATTGTACCAGGACGGTGGAAGTTCAAAGATCTCCGTTAATCTATTATTTTCGTAAAGTACCGCTGATTCCATTCGGTGTTGCGTTCCGACCTTCGAGTATTAGCTGGCCAATAGATGGCTTCCCTACTTTCATTCTGTGGAACCCCACTGCAATATGCTCCCACTGATATTTATATCTGTTTTTTACATTGTTTTCCGTGCTTCTTCTTTTAGTGTTATCGTTAGTTCCGTTCGCGCGGACTCGCCCTCCGTTCTTTTTAAGTTACCGGGGAACAGCGTATACATGGCATTTGTAACATTAGATCCGAGAAATATTCGGATTGCAGAGGGTTCGCGGATAAGGCAGGTGTTTCTTAGGTAGAGAAGAATGACAGATTACAGTATTATTTGCTGCGCTCGAACTTTCAAGTGGTAATAATTTATAACGACACGCGGATAGATGTTTCCGTTAAGGCGTTAAGAATGTAGATTTTAATTTGTCGACAAGTCCAGACGATTGTACGTGGAAAAGATGTGCATTGACGAACATTTTCATACGAATAGCGTTCCATTCGTTTATGTGATACTCGTTCCTATTCATCTCTAACGTTTAAGAGTTCGCTCTCGAATACTTTCGACGAAGAAATTGTTTCTTCTCTCTCTTTTCCCTTTCGAATAAAGTTTGGAGCTGAGAAACATTTTCACGTGACTTATTTCTGAACGATAAAAATCGGTAGAAATCTTTCTTTCCAAAAAAATCAATCTTGCGAGCTAAGAACCGATCTCGAATCAATCTTCCAAATCTCAATATGACCGAACGTCAAACTTCATTGTCTCAAGCCGGGATTGTATAATGTCGAAGTCTGATTCGTGAGTCAGTATGTTCGTGACCTCGATCTCTTTCAAAAGAATTTCGTCCGAGAGCGAAGCAGCATATTCGGGTTAACAGGAACTGTGATCCTTTGTGTCCTATTGTAGTCGATAGTAAACCAATGATTGCGAAGAGAAATGTATCGATGGAAAGGCCACTTCTACGGGGAGAATGTACGCAGAAGCGTTTTCCGTTTCCTCTGCGAGCAATATTTTTCCACTGTCCCTTTATTGGTTAAAACACCTGACCCTTTACCTGGCAAACGACAAGCGCGATCGCCATATTATTTACAGTAATCTATAGTTTCACGACGCATTAGATATCCTGAATTTCCCATACCTTTCATGTCGTAAGGAAGGATGAACACTGAATGAACATTGAAAGAAAGATTCACTGATATTTTACTATTCCTAGGAAACGTGTATTAACACGTTGAATGTCATGGGAGTCACCGGTGACCAAATCGAATTACTATAGTTCATTCAATGAAACGATGATTATTTGAAAACATTTCTATGTTATACATAACGCTACCTGATACGGTGACATTTAGTTAGATGAACGTGTAGTAATCATAATGCAATTCAACCAAACGATTTAATATTATATTGTTTCCATTGTGTGTATTTTGCTCGGTGGATTCGTGCAGCGTTCAACGTGTTAATTGCCATGAATAACAAATTGTCAAGTAAAGGGTTGGCCGTCTCAGCGTCTTTTGTCAATTACTTGAAAGTCTGCCTTAATGTCGTCGAGAACGAGGTAGTGAAGTGCACGACGAGCAACGAGTTATACGTACATACTCGCGTGAGTATGTCTGAGAACTGTGCGTACCGAACGGTCCGTGAATTCACGTCGAAGAATGCCTAATGAATGCGAATATATAATAAGTATATTGGAAAATACAGATGTTATCTCGTCCGATGGATCTCGTTTCCAAACACATCGTTCTCGCGTTAGAAGAGAATTCTCGAGCGCGAACGCCGCCATATCGCGTTCCAAGCGCGTTCTCCGCTCATGTTATGTAACTTTTCTCAAATGTATTTTCCAAGAGAAGGACAATAATAATTAATAATACTTCGATCGTCGGCAAACGTGATCGACTTGCCGTCGGAATCTCATGCTCTCCGCCGAATATCGTTTACGTTCAAACACGAAGAGACAATAATTTTCATCGGTAGTACGCTATTGTTTCTCAATTGTACGCGCGATCTTTTCCCAACGATCGCGCGCGCTAAGTTCCGGAAGAATCAATCGCAGTATTAGCAGCAGACTCGTGTACAGCTTCAACGCGCAAAATGTTCGCGGACTCGTCGAACGATAGTTTGAAAGACGACCATCTTCGTTCATGGGGAAAGAATTTAGAGACTACTTGCACCTACATCCTTGTACTTGAGTTGCTTGTCAAATAAATGTTCAACGTAGACGTTCGCAGATTCAATGCCGCCAAGCTAAGAGCGAACGGTGATTATCATGTCACGCTCATCGGTTCATCGTCGATCGCGCGCGTTACGTCATGGAAAAAGAGGGAATACACCGTGTCTAAAGAATGTGCATTAAATCAGTAATAACGCGTGACGCATATCTACGGATTCGTCAATATTCGCGAGTGAATTGACATTCCGGGAATCGCGAGTTCCCCGTCGATTCTTCGTCACGTTTTACCGAAAGCAGCAATACCGGTGTACCGATCGCCGAGATTTCCTTTCATTGCCGTCGAATTTTGTCGCGCGACGAACCATGCAGAAACACTAACGGTGAGTCGCCAAGGTCTCGTCGAAAGGTGCGCGTTGTTACGTTTCGTAACGACTCGAGTTCCGTGTGTCAACGACGGCAGACCGTACCGCGCGGCGCGAGGCGTTTGACCCAAAGATCTCGGTTTCCATGTTCATCGATTTCCCTTTTGCTTTCCCGCGGTTCCCGAACTTCATCAAACAATCGTCCAATGACGAGTCTATCAATAATCGACCGACAACGCGCGAGTACCAATGAAATTTAGATACTTTCAGGATATCCGTGAGTCATCAAGCGGAATTCCCAGTTTAAGAGCCATTCAAAGTCCGCGCGCGTGATTCTGAAATTCCGCCTACCACTTTGCGCCATTATCATATCTCTGACTGTCTATCGAGCGTAGTTTATTAATGTCGAGCCGTGTGTACGTATCCTGTCTAAGACGTCATCCCGGTGTGGGTGATTACCTCGCGACGTCGTGGAACAGAGCCCGATATCGTCGGCGATCTTGATTCGGAATAGAATCGGATGATTCTCCCGATCTCGCGGGGAATTATAATTTCTTATTACTCGCGATACCGATCGATGCGCTAATATAAGCGCGATTCAGCTGCAAGGTTACTCGACTTATCACACAGATTCAATTTTTCCGTGCACGTGATCGCATTTTTCCCACACGCGTAATCGCGCGAGTATTATCGGCTTTATCGGCGATCGTGTTTCAAAACAAACGCGCTTCCCAGCCGTCGAAACGAGTCATCGAACAAGTTGTGTCCGAACGTTTCCTCGTTAAACGTTAATGGGATTAATAACGGATGATTATATAATAACCGAGGACTGTTTTTATTAAAACGGAATTACTTATCGCAGCGAGGCGATCTCCGTCTTCTTCGGAGTTTAATTAACCCGGTCCATCGACTTAAATTTTTCGTCGATCGTGAAGAGTATTTAAAAGCGTAAACTCATGCCGGGAACAGTGTCCTTTTTTTTTGTTTCCCAGATGCTCCGTCGCGATACGATCGCTCGGAAGATTTATTTTCCGCCGGGTTGTTGAAAAATATCAACCGGTTCCTCTTGCTAATTTGCATAATCACAGAGAATCCCGTCGCCTCCACGAAAAAAAGGATCCACGTGTATCTTGGTCTTTTTATGTTTCCGCTCGATTATTCTACGGGCACCGAACATCGGTGGCTGATCGGCGATTACTACCGGATCGGAAAACGAAGCTGGCCGATCATCGTTCCCATCGAGTTACAAAGAAAACACGACGCGCTGCTCGGTGATCCACTTTCGTCGAGCGATCCGGGATCGATCGGTGACTGCCTCGAAACGCCGGATCGTGACACGAGCATCGTTTTCCTTCTACCAAGGGAACGTTCTTTTTCAAATCCCCGATTACTTGGGAGTCATTGAACCCGACCTTGAGGATACTGGTTCTCATTGCGTCGAGTGGAAGCTGTAAAAGGGGGTTTCGCGCTGGATAAGTATTTACATACACGCGAAAAATTGCGTTCATATACACTTACCATAAATAACGAGGCAACGGACAGTCTGAAAAATTATCGAATCGCGTTGTTGTTATTGCTATTCTCCTCCAACGGAGTTCTTCGCGTAGATGCAACACTGTAACTCCAGACCGGAATCAGGTGACGTAACGCGAATATCCTTTCGTGAAAGGATTTTGATGAACCGGTAGCAGCCCGGTCTTAAGTAATTCTCGAGAAGAACCGTTTAGCGTATTCTTCGATCATGGACATTTTGGAATTACACATGTATTCCAATTTCTTCTAGCCTCATCTATTCCGAAGACGAATTTTATGTGTTTTTCCCATTTCCCTTCGTTCTTTCGCAGGAACAGTACCTTGACCCACATCAGAATTCACCGGAATCGGTCAAGATTGCTCGGAGAGGGAGGCGTCGCTAGAAGGTTTGTCCAGCGGTCTTGTTCATTCCGACCGGAACGCGCTGCGATTTACAATCGATAGCTGATTGGGTTTCCCCCGACTTTGTATGGCGTCCCAGGATTATTCTCTCATTCGCGCGCGCGTTTGCCGCATAATTAATGGGAAGTACGTACGAGAAATGGCGGTCCAACTTTTTCTCGTGACGTTTTACTATTAATAACTATACAGACTTCACAGACGCTCGACAGTTATGGGTATCTTCCTTGAATATCTGCCGTATGCAAATGTCACCTGTTCCGTTGAAAAAATGCCACTATCGCAGAGTCCTTCTATGAATGTTAATAATCTAATTATTCAATCAAAACGACTGTAAACTGAAAGGAGGAAACTCGGTGACCCGTAACATTTTATCAATCCTTCCTCGTAACGTTGAAATGAAAATGAATGGTGGATGAATCGACCATGGCTCTGAAGTGTGTTTATAATGTTACACGAGTTCCCTATCTGCGTTAGTTCACCGTTTTCCTTGATCATTTTCATGGCTTTATCATCGTCTCCTACGCACCGATTGCTCATCGATATTATGAGGCGCGCGGATCGGCCGGTCGCTCTAGGATCGTAAAACTCGCGGATTAAAGTCTCGGATTATCTCGTGAACGACCACATTTTTCGGCAAATTGGTCACCAGCTATGTAAAAGGCTAAAACTGTGGTGTCAATAAAATTTAGACTCGTATTATTGCCACGTTTGCATGGAAACATATATCATTTCAACTGCGTATAAAGTCATTCCTGGAAATTAAGCGTTTATAATCTTTAAACAAAGGCTTTGCAATACGACGTTAACTCAAAACTAATCTTCTTTTCCACTGCACGTTACGTTATGCTCACAAAAACGCAATGCAAATCCGTAGGAATGGAAATACGCCGGAATACAATAGTACCTCTTAATAATTGATTTAATTGGGCTAGTCGCTAAGATAGAGGAACGATTTTCGTGTCGAGTCTCCGAATAATGAAAGCTCTTAACAGTAGATTTACGGAACGAGTCAAGTTGACTCATATTGAATTTTATAAACATTATTTACCAAATGTTAGGTTCAATTTTGATTGACACAATTACGCAAATATGTATTCTAATCATTTACTTTTAAACCTCTAATTTCAAAGATCTAAATGAACGAATATCCATTTTTCTAAGAACGATACAACGAACTGTACAATAAATATCTAGTGTTAACACTAGGTTTACGAAGCGCGTCGACTCGACGCATATTAAATTTTATAAACACCACTTGATAAACATTTACGTTGACTTTGACTGATGCGATTACAGTATGCTTTTTATCAATTCTTAAGCCTCTATCTTCCAGACTCCGAATGAAGAACATGATTTTTCTAGCAGCAGTAGAATCAATAATACAATAAATGTCCATAAGACTAGTGTTAACCGTCGGCATCGTTGAAAACAGTGATTCGCAGAGATCATGTCCTGTTCTTCCCCTCGATAGTTCCAGTTTTCCCAAAAGGTTACGAATTTCCCGGGCACGCGTTCGCTCCGAATGTTTGGGCAGAGGAGAAACGGAGGATCGAATAGTCAGCAGGGATACCCCAGCATGGAAAAATGAGAAGCGGTTCGCCGAAACGATCGGACCTTGATAATACTGACTCGATCCTTGTCCAGAGAAAGTTTTGTCTTTTCCCGCGCGACGTGCTGTTGTCCTCGCGTCTTCGTTCGGGACATTCGAAACGATTCTGCGTGAATCGGGAGATCACGGGAATCCGTCGAAGGTACCTTCGTACGAACCGTAAATCCGATTTCCACGAACGGAAATCGAAGAACGGAAGAGACTCGACGCGGCGAGCGACGGCCAATTATTGTCCAACGTAAAATCCACCGGTGTCTCGTATATAAGTTGTTGTCTCGTTCAAGAGCTTCAGTCGTTCTTGACTCTTCGACCGCGGAGATTATCAACCAGTAAACATCAGCTAATAAATAAAACTTTGTGCGTGTCTATCGATTGTCGGACTTCACTCGTGCCAGCAACATGAAGTTCTTGAAGTGTCTTGTGCCGGTGGTAATATTCCTGCTTGCTGGGACATGCCACGCTGCGCCCGGTGAGTTTTCCTTTCGATCGACCGTTGTCTTTCTTTTTGGAGGAAAATCCTTTTATTTGAAGAATCTATACACTGGCGATACGTTTCGTTTTGCTTGATCGGTATTGGAATCAAGATTTATTAGTACTTAGATAGTTACTAGTAGTGTCCGGATCGTTGATCTACTTGTCAGCGCGATGACAGAGTTTCAGTTTCAACCTTAGTAATTTAAAATAATCAGTATAATTATAGTAATATTACTCTACAGAATCGTTTTGGATATTTTATTAATCATATTTGCAAGCGTTTTTTCGAACAACACTTGTTCAACGTCGCGATCCCTTTAACCCCTTGGCTACTATTGGCGCCTAAAGGCACTGAAAAATGTGGTTTCGATATTCTGTTGGCGCTTGTAGGCGTTCGTAATATATTGTTGACAATAATTGCAGCAAAGCTCGCTTAGATCTGACGTAAGTTAATTCTAATTCAAGAATTTCAATTTCCGTTAGTCATATATTATATATAAATCTCTTATACAAATGACTATTATAAATTGGTTTAATTTAGTTTAATTCAGTGTTTTCATAGTTTCAATACACTTTCTTAGAAATATACATTGACGCAAAATTCTGTCGTAGCCACAGGGTTAATGGCGATAAGTGTGAATACAAATAAGTTTCAAGGTCTCGACGAAAGTCTCGACGAAAGTCTCTGATGGGTTAAGTGTACACATAGTTGAATCAATGGTGCCTCTGAAACAGAAAGGTCCACGGGAAAGCAAATGGTAAATATAATTTGAATGTTGTACGTAGGTCTGCTCGGAGAATTGGCAGCCAACCATGGACTCAGCATATTGGACCCTTTGGGACTGTTCCATAAGGATAAAGGTACTCGATCGACGAGTAACGCGCAATCGTTCGGAACCAACCTGAACTTAGGACCTCTTTCCTTTTCCTCGTCATCGGCATCGGCATCGGCATCAGCGACCGCCAATGGCGGCGGATCTGACCTAGCCGCTGCGAACGCGAATACTCAAGCCTTTGGAGGGTCTAATGCAAACGCTGAGGCCTCAGCCATCGCTAATGCTCAAGGTATTCCACACAGGAACTATTATCGAACGTCAATTGCATAGCGATATTATATTTGCACCTACCGCTATTTAACCATTTGCGGACGAAGACTCTTTAACCCTTTGCACCCCAAATTTCTTTTGCATTTTTTCCTCGATAACTCTGTATTATTACGATATTTTGTTTGAAATGAATTTGATAAAATAGTTAGAGTAATAGAGAGCAGAGTAAACGATTCTTCTTACTAATAACATTGAAAATAACATTTTCCCTCGATAACTCTGTATTATTACGATATTTTATTTTAAATGGATTTTATAAAATAGCTTCTAGAGAGCAGTGTCAGCGATTCTTACTAATAATATTGAAAATAACAATAATATAATTTATTTTAAAAATATCTCGACAAAGCACACCTACGAATAAAACTGATATCACGCTCGACACAGGAGCGCAAAGGGTTAAAGTCTACAAAACTCGCAGCGTATGAATCTAAATTATATACCCACTGGTTAAACAATAGGAAAAAAGGGAACTACATACTGATCTCTTGATGTTCGAATAACTAAGTCATTCAGTTGCAATTTAGTGTTCCAAACCTGAAAATTCGATCTCGACCGACATTCGTCTGCAATGAGTTAATGCAATAAGTTCCCAACAATTCCTCGCGATTTAAACTCTATCCCCGGTGTCAGTACGCACCTGAAGGCGACGAGAAATGGCCGCGCAAAGAATGACGAGCGTTGCATTTTCTTTGGGTGTAGGTGTAGGTCCTTCTCCGGGACCGGATTACACTTCTAACGCCGGTGGCATCTACGAGGGCGGTCATAGCAATTACGTTCCACGTAACTATCGGCATCACGGTAGTAACATCGGTTCCCCTTTATATGCGAATTACGGTGCACAGGCCGGCGCGAGTGCAGGAGCGAACGCCAACGCGAATGGCGCGTACGCCGGTGCGCAGGCTGGCGCTCACGGCAACGCGTACGCGGGTGCATCCGCTGGGACGTACAGTGGTTCGAGCGCGAACGTCAATCAGAACCTAAACTCGAACACGAATGCGAACACGAACGTCAACACGAATGTCAACACGAACGTGAACTCCATCGCCGACACGAGCGCAAACGCGAACACAAACGTGAACACGAACGTGAATACGAACGTGAACACCGTCTTGAACACGAACAGCGCGAAACCACTGACAAGCTACTACAATTCTGGAAACGTTGAAGCTAATGCAGATGCGCACGCGGTCACTAACGGCGGAGGAACCGTTATTCCCGAGAAACAATTCCCATATAGTCCCGGCGTTCAAGGACCACGTTATCCCGGACCTAATCGAGAAATCGAGTTCATTTCTAATCCAAGACCAGTGCTCTCCTATCCGCGGCCAGATGTAATCGTCCAACCGCTTCCTCCGCCTCCACCGCCGCCATTATCGATTCACAATGTCCCGCCGCACCCTCCGCACAATGGAGATTCGGTGATACCAGTGGTCGTCGTTGACGGTCCACCGTATGGTAGACCCATACCTAGACCAAGACCGATGCACCGTCCGAAACCGAAGTATGAGCCGTTGCAGATCATCGTGATCGAAACTCCGGAGCCGCAAGGCCAAGGTGAGCCGCTTTGGCGGATCGATCACGCGACACATCGATCACTGCACGACGCGGGCTTCCTCGACTGCACGTGGGTTCGGAATCATTGAAAGATGAGATGAAGAAAGAGAAGCTGAAAACGCATGGGGAATGTTGTATCTTCTTCGTTAGAACTCTCCAGTTGCGATCTCGTTGCACCATTTCTCTGTTCGAAACTTTCCTGCGGATCGACTGCACCATCATTGCAAACATACCGAGAATTTCTACTTCTCTTCTGAACACTAATACTATTAAAATACTTCTGTAGACAGTGTTGCGAAGTTCCCTGTGGCTCGTTTGTTGAGACCGACTGGTTTATCGCGTTTCCACTGTTGTGTATCTTTCCAAATAACATTTAACACGATACTTCTTGAAATCTATGAAATGGCTGTTCCCCTTGATCTCGTGTAGATGGGACTGTAGTAGAAAGATCTTTTAGCCTTGATTGTTCGACTGTCGTACTTCACCAGCATTTATCTGTTGTCGAGAATCTATTAACTCCTTGCCTTGTAATAACGTGTCAGACACGTGGTGCAGATTTCACACAGAATCGAACAAGCATGAACGTTACTCAATCCTTTTGAATTCAAATTAAATATCAGTTTTTGCTCCAAGATATAATAATTGATAACAGAAGAATATCTTGGAGTAAAGACTGATATAGAATATGCCTCTAATTCGGTTCTGTTTCTTAATAAATTATTAATAACAAAGTATCTGTATCGATCTTAGTTGAGAAATAAATCGTAGGGCAAGGGGTTAAATGACGAACTGATCTTGACTGCAACTTACTGGAACGTTATTCAGCAGGTGGAGTTGGAAAGGGGTACTACCCGCCAAGCGGACGTCAACCGACCGAAGGTGGCAACGTTTACCCGACGGGCTTCTCAGGAGCGAATGCTAACGCCAACGGTTTCGTGAATGCCAACGCGAACGCGAACGCGAACGCTAATGCAGCTGCCAGTGGAAATGGCTTCCCCAGTTCACCTGGTTACGTGCAGCAACCTGGCATCTATCCTTCGAGCGGCCCATCGTATCCCGTCGGGTCCAGCAATCCTTTCCTCAGTGGATCGCAAGCGAACGCAAATGCCATCAGCAACGCCAACGCCAACGGTAACGCCAACGGTAACGCCAACGGTAACACTTATTCCGGATCGACAGGCATCGCGCAGAGTCCAGGATATTATCCGACAAGTGGTGCCAACCTTAATATAGGCGGAACCAATCCTTTCCTGTCAGGATCCCAGGCAAACGCGAACGCAGCTGCGATTGCTAATGCCAACGCCAATGCCAACGCTGGAGCGAATGCTGGCTCCTCGAGTCAACCGCAGTATCAGAATCCTTTCTTGAGCGGAGCTCCTACAATCCCCGAAGCTCAGAATACCATTGTACCGAAACCGTCCTCGGGACTGGAGCATATAGTGATCAACACAGGAAGCTTGGCTAACGCGAACGCTGGAGCGACTGCAGGCAGCCAGGGTAAAGCGCAAGGGATACCAACCGTGTATCCGGGTCAAGGTAGCGGTTCGATAAACTACGCTCCGCAAGGTGGTGACTTTGGCCCGATTTCTGGATCGGCAGGTGCTGGAAGTTCCGCGAATGCTAATGCTGCAGCGAATACCGTGGGCTCGAACGGTGGATACGTCCAGCCGATCAAGTCAGCCCCGGTAATAATGATCCCGGCGCAACCTGGCATCATCGCAACAGGACCGACTGGAGGACAAGTGCCTATCAAGGGTGTTCCGATTTTCAAACCTTCTGGGTCAGTTTATGGTCCGACTGGCTCGTCCGGTGCTAATGCGGGGAGCAAGGCTGATGCTGTAAGTGGTGGATTCAATGGCTACGGAGGAAACAGTGGCAACGGCGGTACTGGTAGCGGCCCGATCTTAACTGGTCCCTCTGCACCTGGTTTCGGAGGTTCTGGAGCTAAAGCTGATGCGATATCCCATGCCGGAAACACTGGATTTGGTGGATTTGGTGGAAGCAATGGATATACCGGTCAAAATGGAGGATCTTCCGGAGCTAACGCTAAAGCTGATGCTATATCCAATGCTGGAAGCAGCGGATTCGGCGGTTTCGGTGGAAACAATGGATATACTGGACAAAACGGAGGTTCTTCCGGAGCTAACGCTAAAGGTGATGCGATATCCAATGCCGGAAGCAGCGGATTCGGCGGTTTCGGTGGAAACAATCGATACACTGGTCAAAATGGAGGTTCTTCCGGAGCTAACGCTAAAGCTGATGCTATATCAAATGCTGGAAGCACAGGATTTGGCGGTTTCGGTGGAAGCAATGGATACACTGGCCATAACGGAGGTTCCTCTGGAGCTAACGCTAAAGCCGACGCGATTGCCAATGCCGGAAACAGCGGATTTGTTGGAAATAACGCGTTTGGTGGAGGCAATGGTTATTCCGGATCAAATCTCGGTGGATTCAGTGCAGGATCGAGTGGAGCCAATGCCAAAGCTGATGCAGTCGCTAATGCGGGAGGTTCAAGCGGTAGCTTCGGAGGCAATGGAGGATACAATGTCAAAGGATCCGGTGGATCGGGGATTTATGGACAAGGTAGGTTCTCATGTTAGACATATATCAGTGTAGGTAGTTTGACACGCGGAACTTAACACTGCATGTACTAGATCAATACTAAGTCAATATAAAACATTTTAGATTGCCTTTATAATTATATAGAAGAAACGGGTTTCTGGAAGCTTTTTTAAATAACATTCGTATAGTATTGCACATTCTAAAGTGTAAATCAACTGAAATCTTACTAAACGTACCCTTGTCTGTCATTTATGTAAAAGAATAAATATCAGGTAATTTGATTGCTGGGTAGTTCTACCGTCAATATGTTCCTTTATGTGTTCTTTCCGCAGATTCGACCTCGGCGTCGACGTCAGCTATCATCCAGGGCATTGAATCTGGCTGGATCCTAATTAAATGATTGCTATCCCCTTTTCAGGACCGTCTGGCGGGTCGTCTAGCGCCATTTCCAACGCCAGCTCGAACGCCTTCTCGAGCGGCGGATCAGCTAACAGTTCCAGCAAGTCTTCTGCTTTTACTTCCGGAAGAGGATCGGTGAACGCAAACGCGCAAGCCTCGAGCAGCGCTGTCTCGACGGGCAACAAGAGCTCAGCTTCCAGCTACGCGTCTGCCAATGCGAACACCGATGACATGTTGATATTCAACTGATCTTTGCGACTCTCAATTCCTCCAAAGATTCATCCGTGAGGCAACCCGACACCACAGACGTGCCATCGCTCGAACGACTCATCGCCAGATAGTCATCTGACTTCCGGAAATGTAATTCCTGTAATGTTTCTTTAATTTGTGATGCCTTAGACTTCGGATACTCTTAACGACGCGTCGAGTGTCGCAGGAATAGGCTTGAAATTACCGGACCGCGTACACTATTGATGCTCGGATAATAGTTTACCAGTCAGCGCAATAAATATTTCGATGCTTCGAACGTGTTACGTAATGTTTTACTGCGTTTCATTTGTCACAGCGTTTTATTCCAGCAACGTTCCCTCGACACTCGATTTGTAAATATTTCGAACGACAGATCGATTATCCTCTGTAGTAGTAATTTCAAGATAAAGATATTCTTCATTGAATATCCATTGGCGTGATTCTTGCCAATACACAACGCTAACGTTGCCATTCTAAATTCGTTCGAATCGATTCCCTGAAGGATCGAAGAAAGTATTTTGTCGAATTCCACTGAACATTAAGGGCTTTCGACATGATCTTCCAAGGAGATTGAACAAACGAGGAATACTCTAACTCTTACGTATAAGTATACAACCGTTACGTGCATGTACCATACTATTAGATTGTAAAGCTGTAGGTGAATGTTTTTAACGAATGTTCTTGCGAGCGAGGTTGTTTGCCGCGTCGCTTATTTATTGCGAGCAGTTCACGGTATCCGATGACGCGCGTCATATTATCGGCTTGACCAGACGAAAACACGTCTAGGTCAAAGTGCACCACGTCGGGCGGGTGCGACTAATGAAATTGCATTTACGCACGGGACCGAGAAAGAAACCGCAATGTTCGCGCATAGCGCGGTGAATGAAACTCGGATGAAAGACAGTGACATTGGAATTCAATGGAATGACATTCGTTTGGTTCCGTCAATTTTCATTTAAGAGATACTTGATAATCTTCACGCAATTACCAGTAATCAATTTCGCATCGACGGACATTTATTTCGCGTCTTCCTCGGAATTTCAGACTATTATCATGTCTTATCACATGACTGCAGACATCGGTTCCTCGTCTGTGTCATTGCTTCCCTCTTTCTCGCTCTCTTATGTAATGAACATTTTTCTGCGTTCTTCGTAAATTGTAAAAACTCAATAAACTGTCATTTTCTATCGAACTATTCGAGACGTTTTCATTTATACGAGTGTATGTATCTTCTCCTCCTTATAGCAGCCGTATGAGAACTGATGGAAAGAAATCGATTTAATCGCGAATATAGTGCAAGTAACGTGTAACGATGAGTTGCTGATTAATCATTGCACATCTCTCTGGCGCTCTCAGATGATGCAGTTCTTCAATTATTAATTGCTAATCTTCTTTGTATTATATTACTGACATCTCCACCCTTACCGATAATTATAATCAAATTCATATGAACCTTCGTGTAAGTTTTATGAATGAATATGTAGATCTATGAACATAAATTTCTGCGGAAACCTCTGGCATTGAACCAGAATCGTAAGTCTTATTATCGGTTGCACCCTTATTAGTTTTTCGTTATTATTGACCATTTAACACGTTCTACCAGCGTTACATATTTGTGACGGCTGAGATCCTACATTTCACATAATGAAAATGAAATTAATCCTATAGATACTGTTATTAGAAATTTTATACTACGACATTGTATTTAGGAACTCAATGACTCATTTCAGTTTTATTCTTCTAATATTTTGTTAAGATTTATTGGACTGAAGAAAATATAATTGAGGAGACCGTCACCGAAAAAAAAGACAATTCATGATTCTATGAATTACAAGGTTTCCTAAGACAATACCTTTTACTTGTGGCGCCATCAGTGGCGAAACGTTAAAACTAGATGCGAATGATGAGCTTATGGTGAAAATATGTACCTTTCCCTACCTGTTTGAGCGTTATACCACGGATGGCGCCTCTATTCGATGATCATGCCTTTTTACCATAAATAATTCTGTAAATACAGACACCATCAGAGAAGAATGAAATATAATATATCATCGTAAAAATTATTAATGTAACATATCTACTGTACACAGATATTGTATATAGGCCTATGAGCTCGAAGATGATCTTTATGGTCAGCTAAATAAATTTAAAAAAAAGTAATTGCCCGGTAGCATTATTTGTACATCATCCGTTATAATAAAAAATCACTTACATTCGCGTATAACAAGAATTCAATATGACAGCAGTTTGAACAATCGGTATTAACAATTTATAATTAGCGAAGTACTCCGCAATATTTTATATAAGTATTTATATTTTGCACTTATCATATTTTCTCTGAATGCAACGAGCTGGAAAATGAACATTAAGTAAAAAAGAACATTAACCCTTTACATTCGAGAGGTGACTCTCACTCACCACCTGATTTCATACGGTAATACTACAGAATTTGATATTTAACCCTTCGCACTCGGAAGCTTTTCACTAAAAGCATTCGACACTTTCTGATGAAACATAGACATAGACACTTAGATTAATTAAGAAACAGAGCTGTTTTATATAAATATCTCACATATCGATGCATTATACAAAACTTAATGTTATATATAACACTTTGTAACTTTGTCATATCAAATCAAATGGTGACACCTCTCGAGTGCAAAGGGTTAATATTATACCTTATATAACGTATCAGTTTGAAAAATATTGAAATAAAATAACTTCGTTCCTCAATGTACGTCAGATTTCTCTTCGAGTTTCACAAAATATCGTCTTTACTTCATCAGAAAACATTAAAATATTTATAGCGAAAAACTTCCGAGTGCAAAGGGTTAATACACGTCAGCCATACTGAAAACTACAATTTTTCGTATGAACACATGTTGAAGTTTCAAAACTATGAAACTTATATGTAAAATTCATCGTGCTTTTCCTCGATCGTTCTGCCTACGTTAGGCACTGCTTACGGTAAACTGAAATCTTAAGGGAAACTATCCTTGCTTCGCCATTGTTCTCAAACGCAGCTGTACGATATTGCAGCCCTACGGTCTTCCAAAGTTCTGGGACAGATAACGCGTACGTCCCATCGTGTTCGCAGGTCAAGAGATAGACGGAGCGCAAATGCAACCCTCAATCGCATCTCTGGAACCATTCGTTTCCTGAAAAGCAGAAAGCATCGAATACGAAGCGCATTATTCACTTGTGCAGTAGACGTCCTACCAAAATGAAGTCTGTCGTCCTGTTCGTTCTGATCGCCGAAGCAGCCATCATAGAGCCTCGACCCATGAGGAGCAAGCATACGACGTTAACAGAAAGTAAGACCTTTAGACTTTTATGAAAATTATTAGGGGGAAGCACAGGAACGAGGATCACGTGATCCGTACTGAAATCTCGTACGCTCGAATCCCGAGCGTAAAATCCCGAAATAAAATGAATAAAACATCGGAGACGGTCGCGGCTCTCGCGGGAACGCCTCGGGTGTATTTTTGAATTCTCTGTTTTCCTTGACCAGTCGATTCCCCGAATCGAATACACACAAAGTCCCCGTTCGGATTAGCGTCCTTAGATTTTAGCCGTACGCTTTCTTGCGGTCCACTTTCGATCGTCCCTGGACCGTAAGGACGTCCACTCGTTAGGAGCCGATGAAAAATGAGCCGTTCTCGATCGCTCGGAAGTGGCCGCGCGTGTATTCCTACGATTTCGACAGTGAAGGGGTCCCGAAGTATAAAAGCGTCGTGAATCGCCGACTATCTTCGATTCGTGTTTTTGTCTCTCGCCCGAGTGTTTCCGTGAGAATCTGGTCGAAATGACGTCACGATTTCTGTCAATAACTTCGCTGTGCGCGGTCCTGTTCGTTGCGTGCTACGCGAAGCCGACCGACGTGCTCTCGGACGGATCGCCCTCGTTGAACCCATTGCAACGACAGCTGATCACGGCCGTGGAAACTGGTTGGTATTCGTTAACGTATGCCACGTGGGTCACGGGTGACCCAAAATCAATCAAACACCTCTGGTCCATTCGAAACGATAATTATCTAGGAACGTTCCGGTAGAATCGATAATATAACGTAAAACGGTGACATTCAAGATTTCTCGCGTCACGCGTTCCAGTTTGCGAAATCGTCAGGCGTTCGATGTGCTAACGGTTTCGTATTTCCGAACTTTCGCAGACACGAAGAGGCAGCAACGATCCCCGCAGTTCGGATTCCCTGATGGCGGATTCGACGGAGGATTCGACGGAGGATTCGGACCCTACTCGGACTTTGACAACGATCGCCGGTACGAGAACCATCGCAAGCATCATCATAAGCATCATCACAGGCCGGAAGGCTGTCGGGAATTTGGTTGTGGTGGAGGGTACGCGTCGGAGCCACGCGTCTCGATTCAGCCTTTCGTGTTCTAGCATTTGTTGCTCGCCTGTTGCAGATATGAGCCGGTGCCGCCGTTCCAAGGCGGAGCATCGGAATCCGCAGCTCAGGCTTCCGCCGGATCCAATGGAGGACCTTTCGGTGGAGGATCGTCGGCTCAGGCTTCCGCCGGATCTGCGGGTATTGACGGGCCCTTCGGAGGACCTTTCGGTGGAGGATCGTCGGCTCAGGCTTCCGCCGGATCTGCGGGAATTGACGGACCGTTTGGAGGCGAAGGCGGAAGCCAGGCGAACGCACAGAGCGCGAGCTTCAACTTCGGCCCGGTCTCTGCCTCCTTCAGCATCGCCGAATCGTCGTCCGGTGGTCAACGGTTTTGAGATCACGGTGAGTTTCGAGGATATTGCGAAGAAACGAGGAAAGGAAGCGAACAGGAGAATATTAACCCCTTGCCACGACGAGTGAGACGAGTGAGACGAATGATGAAGATTTCTAGATGAATTTAACGAAACTCAATGTCGTTCCTTGGTCAATAGCTCGAAAGAAAAAACTATTTTGCTATTATCACTGTATTATCTTCAAATGAAATTTCCACCTAAAGTAGAATGGACAGTTGCGTTGCATTTCTTTCAAATTGTCGATAGTAAAATATTACACGAGCTTAGTAGCCAAAGTAAAGAATACGCCAAGGGGTTAATCGATGGCTCGAGCTCGTTAGACGATCCAATTGTTGGTAATCTATCGAAATTGAGGCGATCACGGCGAACTTCGAATAATAATTCCAGATAGCTTGAGTAGAAGTTAGATTTCAATCATTAAACTTGTCCGACTAGATTATATTTCGTACAACCTTGGTTCGAGCACGCGTAACGTAACTTGACGCGCTCTGTCACGAGAATTTCGAGAGTTTTGTATAATATTACTTCGCTCTTTCGTAACGAAGGCAAATGGCGTTGGTTATTAATCGTTCGGTGCCATAGTTCTCGAGTCACACTATTATTTAGTAACTCGCGTCATCGAATATTTTGATTCGACATCAGTCCACTTCGCGTAATTGTCTTTGAGCGTTTCGGATGCTACAGTCATCGGAGCATCGCAGCGATCAACGTGTTAACGAGAATCGCGTGCAGCCGAGAGGAATCGGTTCGTGGCGAATCGCAGTCCTACCCGCGACGCCTTCGAGCGCGAGATGCCTGAGCGTACGCGTACGTTCCTGTTAATCCGTCGAGAATGTTCGCCAGTTAGCGTCGATTAATAGACGCGCGGGTCCCTCGTATTTTTTCCTTTCCATTGGCAAGCGATGCTTCCGCAATCGTTCCGAGAACCGACCGGTCGAACTGAACGCGAGGCGATTTGATTATACGGCGCGCCGCGTGATCATCGAAAACTTCTGCCCGAAAAAGAGCCGGAGAATCGGGAATCGCGAATTGTTTCGACACGATCGCTCCCGACTTGATTGGTCGGCGAGATCTCGAAGCTTCCCTTGTTCGCTCAGGACGAGACGTAAATTCACGCGGGAGAGCGCGCGCGCGCGCGCGCCCGAACGGGGGTTAACGAACTGTGCCCATTACAGATTTGCACGTATTATTACAAGAGACGCAGCCGTCCCGCTTCCAGCGTATAACGAGAACATCTGTCCATCGGTTGGTCGGAAAGAACACCGATCATGCGGATATTGTTCGCATTCTTCGTTGATTTCCGCCGGGTTACAAGCAGAAAATTAACGCGCGCACCGCTCTCGCATTTCCCGGGAATTATCTCAATTTCGAGAACTGGCGAGTCTCTATGCTCGTGTTTATGTCGAACTCTAAGATGGACAAACTCGATGAATTAACACTGGATCCATTTCAGTATGGTTTTCTTCTTTTAAAACGGGATCACTTTACCGAACAACCATTTAAACAATGTATTTGCTCATGTCAACTAAAGCATGAGTGAATCAAAATCCAAATAAACGCGTTCTCGTTCGTAAAAGGAAACAGAAACCAGTCGATTCGACTGTCGTGGTTGCAGCGTTAAAAGAAAAGAGGAAGTAGCGCCGACGCCCGTGGACGACGCATCTTCGCGTCCCGCGTCGCTGGTGGATCGCAAGAAACCAGCGGAACATCTGTCCGGAACACCGGCTCCGTCCAGGTCGAAGATGCAACAATCTTCGCTTATGTGTCAGTTTCGTCGGGTGGCTTTGACGTCTATTTCCCTCCTTTCTTCGTTTCTCCCCTGTCTCGGCCGATGCTCGGCTTAGGACGATTGACGGGACAAGCAGGAGTAGCAGCGAACGCGAATACACGAGTACACGGACGTACAAGTACATGAATACACGAATACGGGAATACAGGAATACTCCATTATTCAAATTCGCGAGAGCGCGGTCGCGTGTGTGCATGCGGGACCTGTGCGCAAAGAGCCTCGTAAACGCGCGCTGCCCGCCATTGTCCTATTGAGCCGCGCTCCTTTTGGTACGGTGTGAAAAAGAATGGACAAAGGGAAAATGAATCTTCTTGGTTCTCAGGCGATCGGCAGACGGCCAGACGGGACGGATTAACTCGTTTTAAAGGGATCGGGACGCCATATTGTCGGTCGGCCGGCCCGGTAACTCCGGTACCTACAGAATCGGGCAACACGCTTTCTCGGCCCCTCCGAGAACCGCTTCGTGCCGACGAACCGGTCTGTTTTGATTCCGAAAACGCGCCTACGCGTGGTCCGCGAGCCGCTTTTCGCCAATTCGTTTCCCGATTCCCAAGCGGACGAACGATTTGTTCTCGATATCGTTTACTTCGATGGGATTCTAGTCGAAATTTCATTTCGAGCACGACGATTCGGCCGTAACAAGACGCGTGTCCGCGATAGTTCGGTCTTGGCGAAACCCGGTATGCAAATCGCCTCGAGTCTCCCTGGCAGGGGTCATCCGGGAAGGGTTAAAGGTCACAAGTGGTTGCACGTCGCACGCTTATTCATCCGTGAGTCCACGGTCGGCAGAATGTAGATTTCGGGCTACCCTCCCTGAAAGCGCCTAGTCCAGTTATCTGATTGCCCACAGCAAACAAACTTTGACTGCATTTCAAGCGCGCGACACCGCAGTGAATCGTATTTCGCGGTTGCAGGGTCAACAAAGGAGGAATATTAAGGTCGAATTTCAGGGTACAAGTTGAGAGGAACGCTGAAAAATGGTTCTTTCTCTTCACAGGTCCAACAGCCCTGGGGAGCATCCGCTGATTTATTGGTGCACCGATCGACGATCCGCGCCGATGCTCGGCCATTGTTTACAAACATTCTACGTCACTAGGTATAAGTAAATAAAGCAGCAGCCCGCCGCAGCGGAGGCGAGGTCGTGCGTGAGTTCGCGAGTGCATGCGTGTTCGCCACCCTCCGTCTCCGAAGATTTCCTGGGAGCGAGTTCCCTTTGTCCACGCGGGCAACCACCAGATGTTCCTGCAAATAAAACCGACAAAATATCGCGACGCTGCATCCCAGATACGGGAGGAACGAAGACTGGAGCAAGGGCAGAGAAAGACCGAAGACCGGAGGGCCCGAGGATTAACAGCACAAAGGGAGGCCAAAGAGCGGAGGGCTCGCAAAAAGCGAACACCTAAAATTCGGATCTGAACCGAGCGGAGCGGTGTGCAATGACCGGGCGATCCGCGCACACGCGATCATCCACGCGAGCCTGTATCATCCCGCTCGCGTCTCGATTCCGGCTAAAACTTTCTCCGGCCGAACGAGACCCTGTTAGATACCTGTTCTTGCGAATAAACGTTTTGCGCCTGCTACGATGATATGGCCTTGATTCCACGTTTCCGTTCCCAGCGATCGTAATCGCTTCGTTCCTGCTTAGTTTACAGTGCCGAGCAATTTTCGTCTCGCGCGACGCTGAATCGAGAACCTAATATTCCGCGATGGTATATTAGGAACTTGAGATAATTAAGTCTACGATTATCTATCGATATGAATTGAAAACGATGGAATAAGAAATGAAGAACGTGCACTGTTTTTATAGGAAACTCGATGATACTACAGCACGAAAATGGTAGTGTGATCGCGAACCAACCGTCGGTTACGATAGGTATCGCCTACGGTTCTTGAAGAATCTACTCCGCAAACGACTTGTCCCATCCTCCACCGCGAGGACTCGAGTTTTACGATTCCTTTCTAAAAGATTCCTTGAGAACACGCGAGCGCCTTAACACTAGAACTACCAAGCACTCAAACTGACTTCTCCAAACTTACAACTGTGCATTTATTAAGATTTCAGTTGATTTACATTTCAGTGTAGGTATTACTTAATCAGCTAACGATTTCTCACACAAGCATCTGTACCTTCTCAGTAATTGCCTAAAAAGTAATCAAGAATGGATCTTTCTGACCCATCTGGTAGTTCCAGTGTCAAACATCGACGGTCGAACGGAATCGATCAATAGAAACCTAACTTTCTCCGACTCATGAACCTATGCGGTGCAAGCAAAGAGTCTTCCCTCTAACTCTGTAGAAGACGAGCGTCTTCGCACTTCGCCGAGCAAGGACCGATTTAAATTTGGCATTTGCGTCAGTGAGGCGACGATCGCGAGCGGAACCGCGAGCCGCGAGCCGCCCGGCCGCGAGGAATGAGGAGCGAGACGCGGCGTGCACGGTAGCCGAAAGAAGTGACGTTCGTGACACCGGAGATGCGTTAAAGGGGCTCGTTAAAGGTCCGTCTCCCGGTCGTTAAGCATTGTTTAGCCGCTCCTGGACGCGCACGGCCCCGCCGACCGGGTAAACCAGTCCTCCTCCCGGCTGGATCAGTCCGCGAGGAGCGAGACGAACGAACGTTCGAAAATGGGGGGGAAAAAATGAAATAGAAAGTGGTCTGTCCGGTGCAACGATCTACAGTTTGTTGAACGGTCCGAGGCGCCTCCGACTGGACCCTTACCCCCGACGTGTTCCTGTTCACCACGCACTATAGCGAATCCGCGATGCTCTCTTGAAGGCTTCCGCGGCATTGTGCTCGCATTTCTCGTGCGGTTGTCGACTCGGAAAGTATCTTCTGGTCAACTCGTCGGTAAGTCCTACTCCAGTTTTAAGTGGAAACCCTACGATTCTCGTTCGCTGTTCGTTGGACCCCTCCGAACGCAACGTCGTTGCTCGCCGATCCTCTTTCTCGCCGTCTTCCTCGATTCTTTCGAATATTCGTCTGGTTCAAACTCGCGAGATCCGCGCTATCGTTGATCCTTCGGCAAAGGGAATGGCCCTTTGAATTCGACGCTTCGGACTCGTTGCCTCTCTCTCGATTGGTACTCCTGATTCGAGCCGTTGCGAAAGCTGATCGGCGATCAGGGAAGGGAACGGACCTCGGATGACGTTTATGTCTCGGTTGTACGCGACGCGAGAAAGGTGGCCCCGTCGCGGACTCAACAGAACTCACGGATGCTCTAATTTCTATCGATTCTATCGTTTCGCAGGTATAACGACATTTTAGGCCCCGTCAAAAAGTGAAGAAAATCTGCAACATCGCAACATGGCGAATCTTTTGGCTCTTCTGGTGATCACCCTCGCTTGCGCGGTCGTCCACGCCCAGCAACTACCCAATCAAAAGCGTAAGTAAACGTTCGTTGACCGCGGAGAACGAGAGATTCCGATCGTTCCTCGACCCTTTCGAAATGAACAACGCGTCACAGGTATTTCAACGATCGTTGCCGAACGAGCACGATCGCGACCTTGACATTCCGCTCGCGGAAAGGAAATTCTTCGCTGCTCGAGGTAATTACACCTGTTTCGCGTGATTCGTCGAGTCGAACTCTCTCGTCGATGTTCGACCGTTCGATCGCGAATTCATCCTTGTCTTCTGCGTTTCAGCCGTTTTCGGTCAAACCTTCGACGAAATTGTAGTCTCCTCGGACCTGAACGTTAGAAGAAAGTCCAAAGAAAACCGCGAAGGTAAAAGATTGACGAACATACCATCGGGAACCACCGGCCCACCTGAAAAATCCACCGTGGTCGCATCCAGATTCGTCTCCGACGACGGTACCCGGATCACGTCGGAAAAAAAGCAACAGAAACGCGAAACTTCGGATTCCCGGAAAAGGTAAGCCGGTGAAAGTACTCACGTACAACGAGCGAAAGTTTTCGCGTCGTCCCGCAGAGATGTCGGTCCGCTGAAACCGGATCGTCGGCTGTAATCGAATCTGTTTCAGGTATCTGGACATGGGCGTCGCGGGATACTTGCTGAAATCTCGAAAACGATGAAAATTCCACTCCGAGGACAACCGCACGATCCTCACACAGCCATCCCGACCATACCCTTTCGGCTCACTTTTGGACCCAGGCCTTGTAACAAAAAGTGTAATAAAAATTTTCTGTGTCACAGCAACCTCGCCTCGGCTAACGTTATTCGAACCTTCACCGTGCCGCCCACGATCCCGCGGCGCAGCCGATTTACCGGGAATCCCCTTCAACGCGAGATATTCCGCGAGACGCGGCTCACGGCTCGGGAATCGCGGTGTCGAAAGATGACGCGAGGCCGCCGTTTAAAATATTTAAAATCATTCGGCGCTCGTTTCGAATGCACCCTTATAGGCAGCGCGTCACGATTTCACGATAAGTCCGCCGCGACGCCGGCGAATTGTCAGGCATTCCGTGTGCCGCAGCGAGCTGAAAAAATCGGTTGGGCTGAAATATGGCGGGCCGTGGTCAAAAGGTAGCCGCCATTGCGATCCCTGTGCAATCGAGCGACGATGCACCGCGCTGCGCCGCGGTTCACGCGACACTCCGCCCCCGTGGCACGTGACGCGCACGTCCAAAACCTCTCAAGCATTTTTCCTCGCGCGCACAACCGTCCCGCGCCTTCCGCTTTCTCCGTTTCCAGCGAAACCGATGCTTTCCGCGCTGCGAGGACGACGCGCGTAGCGTTTCCCGTCGGTCGCGCCGCCATCGACGGAAGGGAGTTTCCTCGAATTTGAAATCGGCACCGGGCAGAAACAGGCTGACGCTCGTTAACTCGCGAAACGATCGGACCCCCGTCGTCGAATCGGAGATTTTATTCATGCGAGGGAAGGAATCTCGTATTCCGCGCGTTGCCTTCGGCTAGCACTATATATTTTATGGTGAATCCGTGGCCGGACTGGTAGGCACGCTGACGTGACGAAGCGTTCGTCATACTTTTCGTTTGACGCGTGCGTGGCCGCTGTTATCAATGTCCGAAGGAGACGTTGATTTAAGGCCACGAGTTCAAAGGATCGTCTGATCGGTGCGGCGCCTGCACGAAACCTCGTAAACAACGCGTCCGTCCGACGAGGCTGATGCAGGCTTCGTTCTCGACCTGTTCTCGATTCACCCATACACCCACCGTTCGCGACTTCCAGCGATTTCCAGCAAATCGCGAGAGCATTTTCGCGGTCGGAACATTCGAGCGAACTCCGTTCTCCTTTCCGACGAACGGATCGATTCTAATACTCTTCACGGATCGCTGTTCAGCCCTGAATCACGCAAGACGTTCCTATGGTCCCATGAACGCGAGTAGGGACGAGTCGAACGATCTCCGACGGAACGAGCAGGTGCTCGTCGAGCAGATCTCGTTTTTACATCGGGATGCAGAATCCGTAGTCGACGTTGCGAATGCTCGCGGGCGTTTATGTCGGCCGACGATACACCTGCGACTATTTTATGTCTTCCCTGAAAAGACCGGACGGTAAATTCCAGCCGGCTACCCGGCGTCGATCCTCTGACTGCTGATCAGAGGCATCAGTGGCGTAGAACGGGCGTGGGTGGATCGAGGGTGGCTCGATTTCCTCGTCTCTGACGAAATTTTACGTGTACCTTCGTTCACCTCGCATTCGCTAGCCATCCGCGTGGATCATGAATCGATATCGCTAACGTTCCTTCGTCGCACCCGAGAAATCGGTCCGAACAGACGTGCTCTGGTGCTCGTCCCTCCCGAGTAACGTTCTCCACGCCACTGCGAAGGATACGCGTCTAGCACGGCGCGCATTACGCTAGTATACGACACGAAAACACCTGTCCCCGGTGTTTTATTCTGGAAATTTGCAAAATGAACGCGATCCACGGGCGAGATGTAACGCGGTCTTTCAACCCATTTCAAGCCTCCTGAACTTGCCGGGCTGGCAATTCGTGATTCGTGTTCAAATAGGAATCCCGGTGTGCCGGTGCGCGCGTTCTATCGAGAGTCATCGTCCTTCTGGAGGAAAGTTTTCGCGAAAAAGCAGAAAAAGGGCGCCACCGGAAAACACGGGCGCGGGGCTGCCGCGTAAATCAAATCGGCGCCCGAGTATTTCCGTCGCGTTCCGTTTTTTTTCCCCGCGGCCGCGCGCATTTTTACCGGAGACCTGCATCCGTCGCCGGGAGAACCGTGAGGTGTAAAATTATTTGCGCTGTCGGAATTATTCCGAGAAACGATCTTGAATTAAACATCCCTGTCCACGCGCCCCTTGGGATTTCTATGGAATCGTAGATCAACCCTGACCGGATCCGAGCTGGCGAATTAGAAAATCAGAAAGAAACCAACGGGAACAAAAGCGACATACTACGTGCTTCTCGTAGCGAGCGGCCCTCTAATTTCTTCCCGGAAACCGTGCGCTCAACGAGCTCCTTGTCCTCCGGCCGCGAAATCGATCGCCGCGTTTCAATCCAACGGCGAACGGCTCCGGAAAAGCGGCAAGCGTTTCGCGAAACCGCGTTCAAAGAGCGCGTTCGATCGCGATTATCGAAACGGACGAGCGAACCCACCGCAGAAACGATACGATTACGATGCGTTTCGACAGTTGTCGCGCGTGAGCAGACGAACGTGTCCGATTCAGTATGCCGCTGCGAAGCACGTGCAACTCGACATCGGTTGATTCCGGATTCAGTGCGTGCGACTGTTCACGAAAACAGGAGCCACGTACGGACTCCGCCTCCTGAGAACCGCGCCGTCGCGCGTCGCGTCGCGTCGCGTCGCCACAGTGGGGTATTTGCCCAATCCGAACGGCCAAAATTAAAAACAGGTTTATGCCATTTTGTTTGGGAATCATTTTTCTTTATTTTAATCGTTATTATTTAGCTGAAAAATATAACATCACATTCAAACTTTGCAAAATATCACAAAGAATCTATTCTAATTAATAAAGATATTTCATCCTTTGCACTCCTGTGTCGAGCGTGACTCGATATCAGTTATGTTCACAGGTGTGGTTCTTTGTTAAGACACTTTTTAAATAGATTATCAATATTATTAGTAAGAAAAATCGTTTACACTGTTTTCTAGGTACTAACTATTTTTTCAAATGCATTTCAAATAAAATATAGTAATACAGAGTTATCTAGGAAAAAGTGCAAAAGAAATTTGGGGTGCAAAGGGTTAAGCCAGCTTAACTGAACTCAGCTGTCTAAGAAAGATTGATGACTTATGGGTATCTCTAATGATTATATATGATATATTACATGATATAATATACAATACAGTACTTTATAATACATAATACATAATACATAATAATACATCATAATTGCTATATAATTGTTCAGTTTTCTATTTATTTTAACTTTCGCGGGAACTCAGCACTTTGCGAGTGCTCCGAGAATAAACAAATCATTATGACGGTATTCGTCTTATATTCAGCTATATCGAATATCAAGAGTCTCACAGTTCACGTAATAATGATTACGGCTGTCGTAATGATTCGTTTACGTAAACTGCAAAATTTGTGATATTTGAGATAGTTGAATATGCAAGGAACAATGTTCTACAAATTTTATTATCCTTGGAGCATACAAAAACTGCTGAGCTTTTTTCAACTACGCATATGTCCACCTTTTCGTTCCAGAGCGATTTCTAATATACTCCTTTCTAAACCGAAAAGGGGCGGAACCAACCCCCAGAGGCGTGGCTAAACTGTCCAGGAGGCGGAGTTAAAGCGAGAGTGATGTAACTAACCTCTCAGTGAGCTGGACTAACCGATTTAGTCCTAACACTAGCCAATTCGCTCCGCCCCTTAGAAGGTTAGTCCCGCCTCTAACAAATTAGCACCGCCCCTGGGAGGTTTTCCCACCCTTCCGAGTTAGCCCAGTCCTCAAATTAAACAATTACATATCATTTATGATGTATTATCATATATCATATATTATATTATTTTATATTACATCGTGTAATGTATGATATATAAATATATATTCTTTCATATATAGTAAATGCATATAATGTATATTAATAAATTCATTGATTGCATATTGTCATATTACAGTCCCATATTTCGTTGCAAAAAGTCGATATAAACCTCCTCAACTTTGGCCGCTCACATCGGGCAAATATGCCAATGTGCGTTGTCTCGTCTTTCGGGACGGTATCCCGCGACAAATAAGCAAATGACGCTCGCCGTTACTGCGATGGCCGTATCAAATCGTTCCTTTTCCCGACTCTCCTCTATTCGTCGGTTTTACATTCGGTTTCCATCATCTTTCCGAGAGGCCCGCGCATACGTTGCGCACGGTCGGGCTCCCCTTTATGAATTATTCCTTTTCGAGAACACGCTGCTGTTATACACGCATCTCCATGAAAAATGATTCACGGGATGGGGCGAGCGCTGGGGTCGACGTATTCTTTCGAGCCGGCTAGGCGTACCATAACGCGAAACCGCGTCCACTCGTCCTCGCCGGCTGACGCACGCGGACGTTCTAACAATAACCGTTATTCCTATCGATTTCAATATTTCCAAACTTCCTGCCATTGCCGCTTTTCCGCTTCGTCATCGGCGATACCGATAACCGCATAATTCATGTCGCTTCTCGTCAAACTTCCGCTGCACCGACAGCCGGTCTGACCCAAATCGAGGCCCGCCACGCGTCGCTCGGCGATCGCGCGAAACGGTATCGTCCGGTTCCGCTCGAGACGATCCCGACGCGGAGTCGTCGTAAACAGGATCGAGGGACGCGTTTCGATGCTCGACCAATGGGGTGGAGGAACGACGGATGGCTATGGAAAACGGTCTAACAAAGGGATCTTTCGCGGATGGACGCAGAGGTGGACGATCATCGAGCTTTTATGAAACTTTACAATGGTATACATATATAGACGTAGATATAGTTCAATGGAGAGAACATTTCGCTTGTCCTAGAAGCTAAAAAGTCAAGAAGACGAGGAAACTGCGAGGGAAGCCGGATGCAACGAAGTGAGATGTAACGATAGAAAATAAAATTCATAATGTCGCTTCATTCTCTATCGTTACGTCTTACTTCGTCGCATTCGATGTCCCTTCCAGTTTCCTTGACTTTTTAGCTTTTAGGACAAGTCTTTTCTCTGTCGAACTCTACATATGTATGTACGTACATGTATAGTTACGACACAAGCCTAACGTACAGTGCGGTACAAAGTACATTAACATCAAACGCTACTCTGCTCGCGTATGCTCGCATACTTATATTAAAAAATGAAAGACACTCGAATCAGAAATCTTGACGCAAATCTGGCTAATGATATTTCAAAATTAACCAACGGTTTACCTATTCTTTTAACACTAGATTTACGGACATTTATTCTACACTTTATTCTATCACCCCTAGAACACTACATGTTTGTTTATATAGGTTGTAGGAATTAGAGTTTCAAGAACAGAGAATTATAATGTGTAGTCGCATAATTGCACCAACCAAAGTCGACTTAATTTGTTACGAAACAATGTTCAAAGAATTCAATATCCGTCAAACTGACGGGTTCCGGAAATCTAGTGTTAGTTACTGAACAATTGCGAGTTTGCCTTTTCCAAGTAGCTCTGACACGATCATCGAGAATTTGATAGTATTTGCTGGTGTTCCTGCAGGATTTGAATTGCTCGAACTATGGGGCCTTGATCGATTTCCGGCTGCATCTCCCGTCGGACAACGAATACGCCAATTATCTTCAAGCACTACCCCCTCCCAAATAATCGATGCTCATGAAGGTACTTCGCGTTGCCGACGAAAAGAGACCTGGAATGAACGGGAACCCAATTGATCAACTTGCATCTCTTCTCATCTCGTTTTCAACGCTATCATAAATTATTACGAATATATTATATTACAGTATATTGTATAATACACTATTCGTCGATACGGTTACACATAACCGATTAAAACTACAAACAAACCGAGCAACAACACAGAATACGCGTCTATTTAAAAGTAAAACAATCGCGAGCTGCTCTCGCTTGTTCCACGTCGCGAAAGATATTCTCGAGAGCATCTCGCGATAGTTCTGCGCGTAGCCTCACGCTCGAATCCACAAATCTGCCGCGCTCTCCATCGTCCAAGCGAATCGTGTATCGAGTACCGCAAACGACAAGATATTTACGAAGCATCCGAGGCAACGATCGTTGCCGATGTAAGCGGCGGAACGCGTCCGAGGGTTTTCTGCGATCGAGCGTGTATCTAGGCAACGATAGGTCTGGCGGACGGGCGCGCATCGTGAATTTTAACGCGGAGCAATCGTCCGATTTCCGAGTCCGCTCCGCGGCGGACGGTACGCAAAATAGGATCGTGCACGCGGGGTCGTCGAACCAGGCTTCGGCCGTTCGAAGCTGTCGAACACGAGGTTCCGCGCGCGGCTACGCCGAAGCGGAGAGCTCCAGCGAGAAGGACGCGGTGTCGTCCTTCGCGAGGTGAACGTTGCCGTTCTTTTCCCACTCGATGGAAAAGCGAGTCCCATTTTTCCACCGGCCGGCAGAGTTTCGCGTTACTCTGCCGTGAGAAACGCGCGGTCCCCGTAAAAAATGGCGCCTCTTAGAGTTACCGGCGCGATTTGCATTTTCGCGGGCCGTCGCGAATCCAGCCTGCATCCGAGCGAAACGGCCGTCCCGTGTTCTATCGGAGATGGACGCGCCGCGCCGGTTTGCGTCGGCTGGTCACGCTCGAAGATACGATGACGCGTGACTTGGAAAACGGTGCGTTTGGAAGTTGATTCATGAAATAGTACGAATTCATGAAGTATTCAGCGGCCGCTGCCCGTACATCGTCCGGACGATCGATGGAGATGAATTTGACGGTGGATCGGTAACGGAAGGTCGCCGGTTAGACCGGCGCGGCATCGAGTCGCCCGCGATCGGTCTCGATCAGTCTCCATCGACAGCCCGGGCAACTTGTCCCGCCACGTCCGACGGCGTACCGTTTGACGTAACAACCTCTTAATATTAATATTATGTCAGTCATACGCGTTCGAACGTCCGCAGTATGACTGGTCAGAGGCGACGATAATTCTTGGGGATGATCAAAAGTCCGTAAGAGTCCAATGGCGGTGGCCGCGGCGCTCGTGCTCTGAATTCCAAACAAATTCAGACAGATCCGCCTCGACGCGTCACCGTCCTCCTCTCCTCCCCCTCGCCCATCGCCTTTCCACTCCCCTTAGGTTTCGAGCCACCTTTGCGAAAACCAATGAAATTACGATCGGCCCTCTTCTTCCCGGCTCCGATGAGTCCTATCATCTCGCCCTCTGCGTCGTTATCGATTTCATCGAAACTCGGATGCGTCTCTATTCACCGTTTGAGTCCCACGCGCCGCTTTCGCTCTCTTCAGATTTCATGTCAAAAAAACCCAGCGCGTTTGAACGATACGGACAAATGACGGCGCACTCGCTATCTGACAAAACGCGCTTAATTTTTCAGAGGCATCTACGTCCCATCGTTACTTTTTTTGTATATAAGTAATCCAAGTAATACATTTTGTATTTCGTTGTTACCAATTATAAATTAACATATATACACATAGATTAAGACAAGCGCTATCACGCCGCTTGGATCTGTTTGCATCCTATTCAGAAAGCGATATTGCGCTTTTGGCTTTTTTCGATCGTGTTCTTTTAAAAACCTGTGGTACTCAAAGGGTTAAGAATAGTCGATGGCGCCTATAGGGTATACGTACGCCATAGAAAAAACGAGTAGCGGTATCGGGAAAGCGCCAGAGATCGCAAGGGAGGAATCGAAATTCTGGGGACGCTCTGGTCGACCTGGCTCGTCGCTTAGGTCGCGGGTATTTATAGACCGATGGAAAATGTATGAACCTTCTCCTTTCTGTTAGGTCGAACGATTCTGTAGCGATTCGAAGATTAACCGACGGAACTGTTGTCGATGCAAGCGGCGCGGGATATTCCACGGTATCGTCGCGCGCTGCGCAACATGGTCCAGCCGATTTCCTCTCCATCGAAAAGGAAAACGGTCTTCCCCGTCGGCCACGACGAGCCACGACGAGCCGCGTCTACAAACTTGGCGAGCTTCCGTCTACTTCCACTGGGCGACATCGTGTAATGCGATCAGCCGAATTCGATCGGCGACCGACGAGGATCGCCGGGACGGCCGGGGATAGACGAGGATCGCAATTAATGCGTTCGATTCGACGGGCGTCCGATCAGGGATGATGATCACGTATCGTTGATCGATGCGCGCGTTTGCGTCGACGACGATCCTGTTGGGTACGAGGCAACCACCTGACGAGCCATGGTGGGGGATCCAGAAGATCCCGTATCCCCGTTCCGCGCGTGGATCCAACCGATCCCGTCCCATGCCCTGTGCCGTCCTCGTTCGCCCATCCCATCCCCCGCGAGCTCTCCTAGCTTCTGGTATAAAAGCAATTGCGGATTCGAGTATAGCAGCATCTAGCAAAAAGTTCGCGGACCAGGTAGACCTTGGCGGTAGTGCTTGGATAGCTCCGGAGTTCAGCGGATTCCGCGACTAACGATTTTGCGGAGAAGTGTCCCGAGAGATCTCGACCCGATCGACCGATTTCCATCGAGTCCCAGCGTTTCTAACCGTTCCGATCTAACTCCAGCAATTCGATCATCGAGGATGGCGCAGTGGATCAGTTTCCTCCTCCTCGTCGCCGCAGCGACGATAACCGTCACGGAGTCCAGAGCAATTCCCGCCGAACCCGGTAAGTACCTGCATCAGCTGATCGGTCTCGATCACGGTCTCCGTTACGTGCGTGATATTTGAACTAGAAACCTAGACCATCCGCGGGCAAGCGCGAAAAGGATGTCGAACGTCTTCGTAAAGTTTCAGTGATGCTGGACCCATATGGCAATCCCATAGTCTTCCTCCGCGAGAAGAGAACCCCCGTGCAACCGTATCCTCACAGGGCGATGATGTTCACCGGGTACTACAGGCCCGTGCGCCGCTCGAGTACCGGCGGCCAAGCGACAGGCGTTTTCGCACAAGGAAACGCTGTTAGTGGCGAGGCTTTCTTCGGAGGCATGCAGACGCCTCACTTGAACAACGGCCCGGAACCGATCGAGGAGTCAGAAGTCTCGAGCGCGGAGGCCCAAGCGGCGCCCGTGCCCGACGAGTCCTACAACGAGGACCAGACGCCGGTGCAGCAGGAAGGAGAATACCAGCCCGAGGGACATAATCAGCAGGATGGACACTATCCTCAAGACGAGTCGCAGAACCATCCACAAGAAGAGTATCCTGTGGAAGAGGAACAGAATCATCACAAGCAGGGTGCTCTTCCTCCTCAGGTATCGGCGTGACTTCGGAAAGAAGATAATAATGGTTTATTTATATTAGGTTGTCCTGAAAGTACCTTTCATTATTGATATAATCAATGCACATTTTATGTCTTATTACGAAACTCCGATCTACTCTACCTTCCAATACCGAACCTATCTTCTTTCAAACACTACAATTAGAGCACGAAAGAAATTTGTAGGACAGCCTAATAGATCGATACCCTTTTTGCAGTGGATAGGAATTGCAAATTATAGCAAGAAATAGGAATAGGAAAAATCATCTCGATAGAAATGGAGAATAAGAGAGTTATTACAACGATAATATTCCCCGTTGTTCGTTATTAGGAAGAACCGGAGCCCGCGCCTGCGCCAGCGTTCACCACCGAGGCGGCTCCGGTTATTCCTGCTGAAGAGCCGGTCTACCCCAGTTCCGAAGCTCCAGTGAATCGACCCAAGGTTCACCACGGCAAGAAGACCAAGAAGACTCAGGTGGTGGTTAAAGATGACGACGACGACGAGGAGGAGGACGACGAAGAGGACGACGAGGAACTGTCCGTTCCTTTCGTGCCTTTCAAGGGCAACCGTCGCCGGCAGAACTACCCGAACTTGAACAACTACTTCCCCATGGTGTTCAGCTTCCCCGGTGTGTCCACGCGTTCCGGATCCTCGGGATCCCCTCCGGGAGCTGTGACCGCGATCGCCAACAGTTACTCCACCGGCAAAGGAGGAGTCGCCAGCTCGGTAGCCACCGCGTACGGAGGATCTCCTAACGGGTAAGTCGGTATAGAAATCAATAACTACTTCCGCTTGAAAGCGAAACTGTCGCGAGTTGCTCTCGAGTGGACGTTGCCTTAACACTGGAACTACCGAATAGGTCAAAATGATTTCTTTATAATTGATTTCTTCTTTCGTGATTAATGAAACGGTGTGAACAGCTGTTTGAGAAGTTACTAGAGAAGCTGATAAACACGTTCGTTATCAGCGTTTATTTCAGGGAGGACCTCCTCAATTGTGATATTTAATCCAATAAATCTAAACGAAATATCGAAATGAAATTGGAACAAGTAATTGAGTTCCTAAATATAATGCCGTAGCTTATAACTTTGAATAACAGTGTCTATAAGACTAACCCTTTGCGCACGAGGATTCTTTGAAATGTACAAAATCTTCAACATATGAATCTAAATTATATATCAATTGTTTAATTAATAGAAAAAAAGAAAACTACGTGCTGAACTCTTGCTGTTCGACTAATTAGATCATTTGTCCACGATTTAGTCTTCCAAATCTGAACATTTCATCTCACTGAAATGCCGACATCCGTCCGTAAAGGGTTAATTTCATTTGCTTCATCTAGAATATGAAATTGTCAAATATGTGACGCTGATAGCGAGCGTGTTAAGTAATATCTAAGCTGAAATTTAAAATCTTTCGAATCTTAATAAATCTACATTCGCAGTTTTTATAAAGAAATTGTCAAGGGTCAGTTTATGTGCTCGATAGTTCTAGTGTTAAGGGTGGGTTTTGAGATCGACGATGCAACATAGTATTTGCTCGCGAGAGATGTCTTGGAAAGCAACTCGCGATAATTTTTCTCTCGAATGGATACACAGCGTTACGATGCAACGATCGATCTGTGTCCAGAAAAAAGAAGCGTCCAACAACTGGCGACGAATAAACCTTCAGCCATCGGATGGAGATCGGCCGTGAGACCGGATCGACGGACGAGCCGAGTCCACCGTTCGATGTATCTTTCGAATCGATATTCCACGCGGCATTAACACGCGCAACCGGGCGGATTCCCAGCGGTGCCCTGCCTTCTCTTCATCATCGTGGTCATTATCGTCGTCGTCGCTGGAATGCCGCTCCCGTGGACGTCCTTAAATCAATTCGTGTTCCTGGCAGCCTATCCAATCGCGTTAGCCCTTTAAGACCGATCCAGCCTAGGAGATCCTCGATTCGATCGACTTCCGCAGAGTCGCGTCAACGACCGATACATCTGTAATTGGTAACGGTAAAACGAACGAAGAATCGTGATCGGAGTCGCGGATCCGACCAGCTCGCGTCACCATTTTTTGGGGCGGAGACGCGCGGAATGGAGTCGCATCGATTCGAGAGATTGTAAAGAAGTCGCGTGATCGTTCGTTATCGCCTGGAATCGCAAACAACTGAAAAATCAGGAATCTATCGAAGCTCGCCACATTGTAGCGTAGCCTACCGATTAAAGAGTAATCACGGATTTATGCACAGCTGATGAATTTGGTGAGTCAGCGTCGAGGAGGAACGATAAGGTTACGCGATTCCATTACGATCCTGTTACGGCGTATTCTTGCATTTTCGGAAATCTTCGCATGCGATGTTCGAGTGTCGCGTAAGAACCTTACTTTTAGATAATTCTAGAATAAAACTGTTTTAATAGTAGACTCGTTCGTTTGTCTCGTTGTTGAGTTACCTATACACCTACCTATCCGACCGTTCCTAGTCCTTTTGAGTGTTATTGACTAGTCCTACGCATTTGCGGCAAGGCCTTCCAAGGCCGTTCAAACACTGACCCCAGAAACACTTTCTTGGAACGAACGTTGGTTATTAAGCAACCACGCCTACGAGCGTAACTATTTCCGAGAACCGTCCGTTAAAACTCATAATCGCGTCTGCTTGCTTTTCAATGGATCATCGGTATTATCTTGTGACACGCTCGTCACTCCGTTTACGCAGGACGATACCGCGAAATTCACGGTTGATTTTCATTTCGTGCAAGCCACGCGATTTAATTGTTCGCTAACAGCGGTTGCGCAATTGGGGAATCACACGTTTGTCGTCGAGATCTCGAAAATGCGGCGTACAAGTGAGCTCGATCCGACGAGCAATCGCGATGAAAACTGCATAGAAATCGGGAAAGACGCCTCGCGTCTGCAACCTTGAGAGTAAAAAAGCAATCACTTGCATTCTAATTCAAACGGAGAAATATGCGCCCGTGATTCATTCAAGAATCACCGCTGTTGCGGCTTTGATGGAATCCTCCTGTGAAATCACTCGCGAATATCCGATCGATCCGACGAAACACATTTGGAATGAACGTGTCAAGGAACTTAGGGTCGTTAATTTTTTGTCGTTCCGCGGAGAACTGGTCGCTGCTACCGTTAACGAACGTGTCATTAACACGAGCTTCGGTATTTTCGTCTAGTAGTTTCTTTCGCTGTGGAATACCATTTCTCGAAACGCTGCACTTTCTACGTTTAATCCCTTGTCTTAGATTATCGTATCAAATTCGTGAAGATTTCAAATGGAATTTGACCTTTGCACTCGAACGTTGTTTCGCTTCACATATATATTATCATCTAATGGAACATTAATTAAACTGATCCTATTAAACAGAAATGATGCACTAAACAAGGAACAGAATTATTTTATTTTAATATTTCGTATCTAACTAAAATATGTAATATATGATATTGAATATTGAATTTCACAATTTCGCTATATCAATTATGGCGACTGTGAATCGCCCTGCAAAAGGTTAACAAATATAATCACTAAATTATCCCCAATATTATTTGTCTATTACTAATTGCAATGCTTCTACGTAAACGTGAACATAGAAGCATTGCAATTAATAAGAGACAAATAATATTTCGAAGAATTTAGCGATGTTTTTAAATAAACGTGGACATAGAACAAGTACGGAATTTTCCTCTTCGAATGAACTATGAACAATAAAGTATCTCCGTGGAGCACAATTGGGAAGGAAATAACAGGGCAAGGGCTTAAAATCAATCGTTCCCCAAACGGCGCCTCTCTTTCTTCGTTTTTCCTATAAAACGCGGTTTATTTCGCGGATAAGTACGCACGGATGCGCACCGTAATTCACAATTCCTTCTTCTCCCTTTTGGCTCACGATGACAGTGCTAAACGAGTCGCCGGCTGCCTTTATTGCCCATTAAGCCGAAACGAATAAAACGGTCAGGACAAGGTATCCCGCGCGGAGAATCCCAAATGTCCTAGGGACGATTAACGAGTACCGTAGACACGAAATTCTAGGAACACAGCCGTGTTCGGATGATTTTTGACAAACACCGCTGCTAATGCGAGTTCCCCGCACTCTAAGCCGTATCGATGGTCCCTCAAGGCTATGCTCCTCTCCGAGACAATTAGGAAGCCCGCATCGTGTTCTTGAAATCGCTGAATCACTTTCTGTTACGTTAACCCTTTACACTCGGAAGTTTTTCACTAGAAACATTTGAACATTTTCTAATAAGACAAAAACGATACTTTGTGGAACTAACTCGCAGAGAAATCCGTACATTGAGGAACAAAGTTATTTTATTCCAATATTTCTCAAATCGATGCGTTATATAAGGTATACTATCAACCCTTTGCATTTTGATTTAATATAACGTATCGCCATTTGATTTAATATAACAAAATTACAAAGCGTTACAAATATTTATATAAAATGGCTTCGTTTTTTAATCAACGAATGTTTTCTCATTAGCTCGTTTCAAATAGTGTCTATGTCTCATCGGAAAGTGTCGAATGTTTCTAGTGAAAAGCTTCCGAGTGCAAAGGTTAATATCGACTCGATAGAGAATAACGGACCAAAGTAAAGATTCAGATAGTTGGACCTACCGACAACGTTTATCGTTGATTCCGTTAAGATCCGACGGTCATCCTAGTTGAAGCACGATCGACGTTTCTACAAAGCTGTGGCTCAGCCGTGCTAATGAGATGCGGCCGCGTCCCTCGCGAAGAGTACCTGTTTCGTACCTTCGTAAATGAGTCGGGGTATCCCAGAACGGTTGGAACGAGCACGGTTCCTATATAAAGGCTGCCCTCCTGATTTCCTCATCGCCACTTCACATACGATCCTCAAAGACGTCTGCTACTCGTCGCGACTAGCCGGAACATGTCGAACATCGTCTTGCTCGTCCTCGCCGCGGTGTTGGCCACCGCCTACGCTTACCCCGCCGTTGTCGCAGAAGGTACGTTTCCTTTCTCCTATGACAGACATTTCGATTTTCAGGAAAACGGCAGTCGATTCTCGATAGTGATCGAGCTTGGCTGTTGTGGTTTCACTGTCTTATTCGGACGAACTGGCGTTCCGAGAAACGGACAGCTGAAAATCGCTGTGTGCACGTTCCGAGTGTGTACGTGTTCGATTGCTTTTATTTATGTGTTAAAATTCGAAAAGAGTATCTAACCCTTTTGCCTGTAATATCGTGACTCTTGACGAAAATTTTGAACTGAGTTTGAGAAATTCAAATGTTAATTATTAATAATAGAACAGTAATATTCAATTTACATTTAAAAAGTATAAATAACACTTAGATTTCTTAAATCTCGACAGAATTTCTAGACATTTCTCAAATCAAAGGACATAATTTTTATGTTCACTCTACGTCTAGGTTTACTTCAAATATTAATGGTTAATAATAAAACAGAAATATTCAATTTATATTTAAGAGATATAAGTAACACTTAAAGTAAACCTAGACGTAGAATGAACATACAAATTCTGTCTTTTCCTAAGAAATTATTAACGATAAAGTAGTTGCATGGGTCCTAGCTGAGAAATTAATCATAGGTGAAGGGGTTAACACTAGATTCACGGACGTTTATTCTAGTTTTTGTTCTGTTGGTTCTACGACACTAGGTGCTGGTTTATGTAGATCGCGAAAATTGTAAATTCAAAGATGCGCGTTAATTATTATGCATAATTGCACGAATCGAAATCGATTTGACACTAGAACTACCATGCCAGTCGAAATGACTGGTTACAATTTGTTTGTTTCGCAATCATTGATATCTCAAAAGCATTGAATACTCGGAATGATCTTGAAAATAGACAGTTTTATTTAAATACTATAATGAATATCCGACGAAACTGAAAATAATCTATTGTCACAATTTCTGTAGGGCTTACATATGCTCGTTAATTCCAGTGTTAAACTGCTGGTGAATAATATTTGAATTCAATATCCGTGAAATTGGTGGATTTCATAAATCTAATGTTAATATGATTGGTATGTAATTATTATAAAATTATATACATTCTTTTCAATTTCTGGGAACATTCATTATACATTAAACGTTCAGTTGTTGATTTGTAAAATAATTTTGGATAAATAACACGTTGAATAGCAACGATAATTATTTGAAAACATTTGTATATTATAAATGATCCTACCGCAGATGCTAGATGAACAAGCATTAATAATAATCTAATTCAATCAAATGATTTGAAATTCTGTCTTTCACTTTGTTCACTTTGCTCTATGAAGTCGTGCAGCATTCAACGTGTTAACATTAGAACTACCAAATAGGTCAGAATGACCCTTTTCGTGTCACATTTTCTGCAGTTATAGAAAATACAGAGGCGATTTTCTGAGAGATTATTCAGCAAATTGATTTAGACCAATACAAACCAGAATATAAGGAAATTGCATACTCATTAAATTTATTTTTATACATTTTATAAGGAAACACAGAATAATCAATTTTACTGTTCGGTAGTTTTAGTATTAATACATTTACGATATCAATTAGCGTGAAGTTGGTCGGACCACCAATCCGTCTGAGCACGTGTCCACTATAACTACAGCCTCGCACGTAATCATTCCTCGTTTGCAACTTCCGTTGCTTCCGCTTTCGCTTAATCGCTGAACCACGCGCTAGACGATTACGCTAGACCTCTGAACGGTTGTCGCAATTAATTCGCAGATTTCCATCGAACAGTGGCGTTTGAAAGTTTCCCGTACCACATCGTCGCCATCGAAATATACTTAACGCCTTGACTCATCGTTTAGCGAGCGTTGGTGCAATCTTTTCACAAGCTAGCACCAATTGTCGTCTGTCGGCCTTACTTCCCGACGAAGGTCGATGTCATTCTCGCTTCCAAAATAACTTCTGTTCTTTCGCACGAGTACGATTTCCTTGACTCCAAAATGTTTCCAAGAAATTCAATGAGATCGTGTCTCGGTTTTTCCAGAATCGCCATTGCCGAGAGTTGCTAGAGCCGCTTCGCCTGATCCAATTCTGCTCTTAAAGCATGGTTTCGGTGGATATGGTGGATATGGTGGATATGGTGGATATGGTGGATATGGCGGATACGGAGGACATGGTGGATATGGTGGATATGGTGGATACGGAGGACATGGGGGATACGGTGGATACGGAGGACATGGTGGATACGGTGGATACGGAGGACACAGAGGAGGTTATGGCGGCTACCCTTACGGAGGCTACGGTGGTGGACTTTCCGGAAGCTCCGCTCATGCTGGGTCCATCAGCTCTCCATTCGGAAGTGCGTCCTTCTCGAGCGCCAAAGCTGGGTAATTATTTATTCGAATTTCAAGATCATTATTGTCGTAAGCGGTTTATGTCCAATGATTTGCATCGCTTCTCTTATGTTACAGAGCTCTTGGTTTCGGACGATGAGACATCGGCTGAGTCACGCATTGACCAACGAGAATACGGTTCCGTCCAGTGCATCACTCATGCTTGTAAAATATTGCCTAACATGTAGCTAAGTTTGTATAATAAACCATTTTATACTCTCGATTTGACTGCTCTGTTTCCCCTTGCCAATCGTCACAGGAGAGTATCATTGTTATAATAAAAAAGTCTATAGAGATGGAGATTGTCTCTATAGATTATCGCGAAATCGAGATTCGTGGACGATTCGTAATTATTATTAACCCTAATCGTGCCACGTGTTTTTATAACGAATCGTGCCATGATGTGATTCTCAGTCACATATGAGAATGAAAGGAATAATTAAAATGTTATTGTTTTTGTTCATAGGGCCCATATTTTAAAAGCCCAAAAATACTTTTGAAAATGTGGTATGAAATAATCGAAAAATTTCAGTGAAAAATTCAAATGTGACTCAAAGTCATATCATGATCCGATTAGGATTAATGTAACTATTATGTCATAAAAACTGTTCTCCGCTTACCATGCATTCGAACTGACAATTTCTCGAGATTAATAACCAACGTTTCTCATCTGAGGTAAGCTCGCGCACGATTTATCGCGCTGCTACGTACGGTTAACACGTTACATGGGGGTCTCATCGGTGACCTAGACCAAATAGAATTACTATAATTTATGCGATTAAACGATGATTAATTGAAAACTTTTCTATATTACAAGTAGCTATCCGATGCAGTGACATTCAACAAGATAAATCTGCAACAATAATAACGCAATTCGATTATATTATTTGATATTCCATTATTTCCATTTTGTATATTTTTCTCGGCTAAATTGCGCGGCACTCGACGTATTAATCGCGCACGGATGTTTGCAGCGAATGTTTGGAAAAATATGGCATGCCACGATACTCGAGCACCTACGCATCGCGGCTATAAAAGCGATCGTTTCGTTCGAGAGCGATCGTTAAGTGCCGCGATTGTCGATCGATCCTTTCGCGAAAAGTTGATAGTGAGATAATAAGAAATGAAGCTTGCCTTGCTCGCGCTGCTGTCCTTCCTCTTGGAAGTAAGTCCATTGCTTTGGTAATGAGTCCGCAAGATACTCTAGGAGTTTACTGTGATTTTGATCGGTTTCTAGGCTCACTGCGTTCTCGTTTCTTCTGAGCCGAAAGGTACTTGAAAATACCGAATCTATCGAGATCGAGAAGCCTTTGTTCTTTATTTGATTGTTGTATTTGCGAAGGGAATGAGACGGAGCTGGAGCAACGGCGTAGCGCTCGAGTTCACAGAGTCGCCAGCGACGACTTCTACGGGAAGGAAGATGTCCATGCGAAAAACATAGTGGACGTAGAATCGACCGAACAAACTTTTCGATCAGGCAGTCAGAAAGAAGACGTGTCACTGGCAGATACTGTTTTACCGATAACGACTGAAAGCGAGGCCAGTAAACTACTATATGATTTAACTTACACCGATCTAGACTCAAATCGTGTGAAATTTAAAAAGTCGAACAGGCTTAACACATTCGCGGACGTGAATGCTATAAGGTTCATCCTCATTGTGACCTCAAATGACTTGGATGCTATAATATTCAAATTTACAAGCCACATTATTACACATTTAATTCTACATGGCCTTAATTTTTTTAAATCGCCACGATTTTTCTATTTTTACAGCTCATTAGAATTTTTACTGTTGCGAACGTGATAACCCTTTGCACTCGGTGACTCTCAGTCATCATTTGATGTGACGTAGTAAAACTATAAAATCTGATATTTGATGTAGAACTTTGTATAATGTCTTGATACGTGAAATATTGGAATAAAATAGCTTTGTCGCTCAATGCACTTGTGATTTCTGTTCGAGTTAGTTTCAAAGAATATCGTCTTTGTATCGTCAAACAATGTTAAATATTTCTAGTGAGAAACTTCCGAATGCAAATGGTTAATATTTGCACTACAGTTAAAAATCTGAATTCAACGTCGAGATCATAATCATCTAGGGCGCTGTTCACTTAATAACTATAATTGAATAATCCCATCTCGATTTAATATAACATGAGCTATATTATTTAATTTTATCCTAAATGAATTCACTATATTAACGAGAGAAAATCAATTTTCTTATATCGGTGACCTCGACAAAACGTTTCGATCCGCGAGCGCGCCTGAAATCCCATAGGATTCCGAACGCAAAAAGCAACACCGTGCATTTACAATATCATGGTAACTGTATTTTGCAGACGAAATTTTCCAAACACATGGACAGTGTTAACCGCGTCCTGAACGAGTGGTCCCGAGAAGTAACCGTCGCGGCGAGAAACGATGACCTCGCGTTTAACGGGATGACGGAAATGATCGAGTCACCGGCGTTCATTAAGTTACTGCCGAAAAACGTGCATGGTTTACGGAATCCGCTTAATTCGCCTGAACTAATGGATATTTCTTATTCGGATAACTCGAACGTCGTGAAGAAAACTGAGTCCGGTATTCGCTGCTCGCCTCGCGTTCGTAAATGATCTTTTCGTTTAAATTTCTTTCTTGGTTACCCGTGTGCGTTTGTTTAGGACCCAAGTATGGAGAAACGGACGATTTCCAGCTGAGAACGATAAGGACCGTTGGACTGTACTTCGAGAGGCTGCTCGCGGAGATTCAGGATCATGCAACTTATATTCAGAACGTCATCGAGAAACTTTGCAGGTAAGATAACAAAGGAGCTACCAGCTGCTGCATAAATGTCTTATAAGAGGATCAGACATGAAAATCTGTTTTTCAATGAAATGCATGTTGTAGTACGTACCTAAAAATGAAGAATTCTCGTGGCTTTCTTGACAATGGTCTTCCATTTTCGAAAAAGATGAGTTTCAACACTAGAACTACCAGATGGGACAAAATGACCAATTCCTGATTTCTTCTGTTACAATTATATATATTGAAAATATAATATATATATTTTTTTTATTTAAAAGTACAGAAGCATCTGTACTTTTTCAATATATATACTATATTTTAAATATATATTTTACTACATATATATATATAGTATATATAGTATAAAATATAGTATATAAAATATAATATATATATTGAAAAAATACAGACGCTTCTGTGAGAAATCGTTAAAGAAGTTGAACTAGTAATACTTATACTGATAAGCCGATTGAAATCTTGGTAAATAGACAGTTAGAAGTTTTATGAAGAAATTTAGGAAAGTTAATTTAAGTGCTTGGTAGTTCTAGTGTTAAGTTTGTAAGTTACTCTATTGGAATTCTTTTTTGTTCCTCGTTTTCCTTTGTTTTTATTTGAATTATATAATCTCTAAATAACTTGTATTTTATTACTGTAATAGTATTTATCGTCTTATGAGTAACATACCAAATTGAAGCTCATTTTCCTTGGAAACAGAGAACCATCGTCAAAAAGCCATCAGAATTTTTCATTTCTAGATACGTACTACAACGTGCATAGAGTTTCATTCGAAAACAGATTTTTCTGTCTGGCCCTCTCCTCATTAGTCCAATTAATCAGTATATAAAATCAGTATACATATGTTTCAGAAGACATCGTTCGAAAACACCGCGTCAATCGGAAGTCGATGGTCCGGTGAAATTTTCGTAGACGAATCACCGAAAAGGAGTTCCAATAATTTCAAATCAATTTTAAAAGCTACTAACAAGATTCACTACTAACGAAACTGTTTTTGAAATTACTACGAAATTGATCTAGGCAATAAAAAGGAATCATTGACAGTATTTAGCGCACAGCACGAGAAAAATAGATGGCGTTCATTTCTTATTCCTCGCGCAACCTCTATTCGTTAAGCATAAATTTAACAGCATCTTTACGTTCCTTTATGAATTCTCAACGTAACACAGCATATACATAGAATGAGGCTTCAAAGAAACGTCATGCAGCAGCTTGAGAATAAAGAGATTATCTTGAAAACGTCCATAACGGTTGAAAAGTTAGATCGATTCCTTCCTGTAACCGTTGACGACGGCAAAGAAACAATCGCGGCGAGTTTACTACCCGTTGGACGGTAAGTTTGTTGCTAATAGGATAAGATTAGTGTTATAGGTAGACAGCAATAAAAGAATCGTCGCGCGGCTGAAAATTGAGAGATTGTTGCTCGTAGAGGAATAGATTGACCGTACAGAATACAAAGCAACGCGAGAGAATGCTTGCCGTGCAGCCGAAGTTTCAGAGCTCGAGACGTGTATACAGATTGTTTCGCTATTATTCACCGATTATTACTGTTCCTGTCGTGCGAAACTTGTTTTCCATAAAAATATTCATTACGAAACAGCTGTGCGCCAGCTTGCTTCTTAGTCAGCGGTGAATATAATCGATTAACATATCCGTTTCGCGTCGTATCGAGCAAGCTATATTTACAACCTCATTATTTCGAACGAACGTTCAGCCCACTATCGTGCCTGAACTTCACGGTTGACCTAAAATCGCGCATACGCGAGCTTCCCGGTGGTTCAATCTCAGATTAGAAGGCGATTGTATTCGCCGTTCGTGAGGCGAACTAATTGCTCGGGAACCGCGCCGCCTCTGCTAATTGATCTCGAGCGTGTGCCTTCAACGTGCGCCTGTTGAAAGGCAACTGGGGCTACAAGTTGCAGGCGAGTTGCACGGGACGTATTCTTTAAGGACACTTACTCGCGCTTCGTCTTGGATATGTTAACCCTTTGCACTCGAGAGGTGACTCTCAGTCATCACTTGATTCGATACAGCGAAATTATGAAGTTGAAGATTTAGTATTTTAAATTAAACTTTGTATTAATTTATCTGTGAATTATCGTTAAATTAGTTTCAAACAATGTCGTCTATATCTCGTCGAAAAATATTAAACCTTTCCAGTGAAAAACTTTCGAGTGCAAAGGGTTAACAGGTTTACCTGTTTAACACTATGTTTACTGACATTTACTGTACGATTTCTTCTATTGTCCTTAGAAACATTGTTATCCGTTCATTTAGATCTTAGAAATTAGAAGTTTAAGAGAGTAGACAATTAGGATACATATTTTATAACTGCGTTAATAAAAATCGACCCAAACATTTACGAAATAATGCTTAAAAATTAGCTCGTTCCGTAAATCTAGTGTTAACCAGAGATAATAGAAATAATAAAGATAATACAAATGTAATAACTGTTCATGAACAGTCTTCGATTATCCGAAATTTGTCGGTACGGAACGTTCGAAATGAACAGCCACAGAAACACGGTTGGGCAATTTCACTGTTTCGCGAAAGATGTTATTTTTACAGGAAATTGCTAACTATATATTCTATGCGTTTAATAGTTCTAGCTTTAGCGATGTAACAATACGATGTTGAATGAACACGTGACTGAAGTAGTTTCGACTGTGTAGCGTAGGAACGGTGCAAATTGAATGCACCGAAACGTGATCGTTCTCCTCCGAAGATTATTTCTCGGTTACCAGTACCAGGCACGACGCGATAAGCCCCGCTAGCCACTTCTCGAAACGAACGTTCCGCCGTAATCCTGTAAACGGTTTCAGACTTCGCGAAGAACTTTTCATATTTCATCTCGCTGCTAACGGGTTTCCGGCACGCACCGATTCAATTCCGGCCGGGACGCGCTTACATACTAAAATGCATTATGCAAAGCGGTTCGTTTAGGAGGATTCACCGGCAACTTTGCATAACGGACAGTTCTCAGGGTCCACCGAGAAAGCTATTTCTCAAATCGCGGAGTTACGATTCGTCAGCCGATCGGTCCCCGATCAACGAGTTCCTTCCGAGATCGGAAAAGGCGAATCATTCTGCGTTATCGACCAATCGATTCGTAACCATAGCTTCTATCGTCTTCTCGCGATCAATCCTTCACGTCCGGCCGCTATAATTAGAACGACGTAAGAAAGTTCGAATGCATTCCACTTCGAGTGAACGTTCCAGCGTGAACGCCTGTTAACGTCGCAAAATCCGAGCTATAATGATAGCGACCGACATCTCACTTGTATGGTCACCTCGAGTCAGACTCGTGATCTTTGGTCCAAAATTTTTATCAAACTCGTTAAAGTACGGTAAGCGGTTAACACGTTCGCTACCAGCGTCACATATTTGTAACGGCCGTAATCCTATATTTTACATAATGAAAATCAGATTAATCCTATGGATATTGTTATTAGAAATGGTAAACTACATTATATATAGAAACTCAATGATTCAGTTTCATACTTCTAATATTTTGTTTAGAAGATTTATTGGATTGAAGAAAATATAATTGAGGAGACCGTCCCCAAAATAAGCGCTGGTAGCGAACGTGTTAAGCCAGCGCGATCGGCACCCAGCTCGTACCGATTTTCCGGATCGAAGATACAGCGACGAAAGTCGTCGTGGTAAGATGGTTCGCCGACTCACGCGATCCCGCGAATTTTCCAGAGATGACCGAAGAGCGCGGCAGTTCCTCGAATATGAAACCTCGAACCGATCACGGAACGGTCGGCGCCGGCGCCAGCGTCGCCGTTGGCGTCGGCGCCGAGGCCAGGAACGTTGCAAACATTCGAGCTGGCTCAACCCTCATGAAGAGCGTGTCTATCTTCTTGATGAGCGGTCGCAAAGCTTCGGTGGACTCGAGGAAGTTGATTTCCGACGGGCCGAAACGCGAATCTCGAAAAAGGCATCGCGGAAGGATGCCAGACGGCGGAAGCGGTACCAGAAATTCGACGCACACCGTCAAGCTCATCGAGTCACTCCGGAAGAAAACCAGATTCTCCTGGCAAGTAAACCCCGCCGCAGCTGCGATGCTTCGAATTGGTGTACAAAACTAACCGTGGTTACTCTCGGCGCGTTCTTTCTCGACATTCAGTCGCTTTATTTTGTAATTGCGCGCCACGTGTGCCCTTTCGCACCAAAGATCAGGCTAGCGAATCGCGTCGCGTGAAGCTAAGTATTGTAATACGTGCATCGACACCGGGTTTCGTAGAACCTGTATCATTTCTATTGGCCTCTACGTGTTTGATTCTTCTCATTTTACTGGATGATACAGGATTTGGACGTTAATTTCAATAATGATCTTTGATCATTCCGGGGTATCAGATTATTAACCCTTCGCACTCGGGAGGCGACACTCTCAGACACCACTTGATTTGACGCGGTAAAAATATAAAATCTATTTAATGTTGAACTTTGTGTAATGCCTTGACACGTGAAATATTGGAATAAAATAACTTTGTTCCTCATTGTTCTTGTGATTTTCCTTCGAGTTAATTTCAAGGAATATCGTCTTCGCTTCGTCAAAGAGTGTTAAACATTTCTAATGAGAAACTTCCGACTGCAAAGGGTTAAATTGAATCCGATACCTGAACTACGAGTATTGAAACACGCGTCAAGGAACCTAGATACCGATGCGTGTATCCCCGACGTGTATCATAATGTGTAGAGGCCTCTCGAGGCGTTCAATTGTCACAGGCTGGAATTGGATAATCTGTGCAAGCTCTACAAAAAGTTAACCAGTTCCGGGCAGCAACAAGTAGGACAACCGTTCGTCATCGGCAGGAGGCAGCAATCGAGCCACGCTATAGAGGTAGCGACACTTCGAATCATAGGAATTTCGAGTCGCGTGCGTGATCCTGTCATTTTCAGTCCGCGTGGAAGCATGCAACCCGCATAACTTTCCCACAGCCGCTGACTCGTGAATCCCGTGCCTCCTTCCCTTTTGTCAAGCATTTTTCAACCGATCGCTGAGTAAATCGTTGCTTCCCGTTCGTTCGTCGGGCGACGGAGACCGTGGTTAACCCATTGCCCTATGATTTCTTTCTCAATTCTGATCGGGACAGTAAAATTGTAAGCATATTCTATGTCCATGTTTGCTCTTAACCGTTTGAGTACCAGAGATTTTTGAAAAATCGGTCGAAAAAAACCGAAAGCGTGATAGCGCTTTCTGAATGGGATATGAAAAGATCCAAGTGGCGCAATAGCGCTCCTATTTCATGTCGAAAGAAACCCAGCAGCGCGACAGCGCTTCTCTTAATCTATGTTAATACTTATGTATTATTTTATAATAGGTAACAACAAAGTACAAAATGTATTACTTGGATTACTTGTATTAAAAAAAAAATAGCGATGCGACGTACGCGCGTCTGAAAAGTTGAGCGCGTTTCGTCAGATTGCGAGTGCGCCGTCAGTTGTCCGTATTGTTCAAATGCGCTGGGTTCTTTCTACATGAAATCCAAAGAGAAGCGGCGCGTGCGACTCAAACGGTTAAGTATAATAATTCATTACAGAAGAATAATATTTACTTTGAATTCGAACGAATCGAGTAATATTTATGTATATTAAATCACGTCGAAAATCTGCATCACGAGTCTAACATGTTATAAGGCAAAGGGTTAATTGTTCCGTCGTCGGCGTCAGGGTATCGACAGAACCGTGTTCAGGGAGTTGCTGCACAACACGTTCAAAGTCATCACAGAGGACGCGCTGGTGGAGCGTATATACTGCTGCTGGGATCGGGAGAACGAAGGGATCATCCGGCTGGAACCGTGGGTGATGGGCCTGGACCTGTATCTCCGAGGCAGCCTGCGTGAGAAGATCGAGTTTTGCTTCAAAGTTTACGACCTGAACAACGACGGCTTCATCGCCAGAGACGAAATCTTCCAGTTGTTCAAGTAAACCGTCGTTCCGACGCTAAGTCCTCTTACCTGGTACACACTTTCCGACGGAGTTGTTTCGCGTCCGTAGGAACTGCATGATGAAACAACCGGGCGAGGAAGATCCGGAGGAGGCGGTCAGGGATCTGTCGGAATTAGTGTTGAAGAAACTGGACGTGGATCGTGACGGGAAGATTTCCTTTCAGGACTACAAGGTGGCTATTACCGGGGAACCGTTGCTCCTCGAGGCTTTCGGACAATGCTTGGCCACGGAGGAGACGTGCGCTTGTATTCTCGCCACGTTACAGTAACGGGCCCGGTAAACGTTTCTTTAACGATCTTCCGGCGCCGCAATTAGGGAACCTAGGATAGACGAAAATGCAAAGGTCGTTAGGATTTCTGGAAACGAATGGGTACACTTTCGTAAAACGGTCGATCCGTTCGACAAACTTTGTAATCATGGCACCTGCCGTTTATTAAAAACAAATTCGATAGTAACCGTAATTACAAACAATAATAATATTAATAATAATAATATAATATAATAATATTATAATATAATAATAATAATAGTAATAATAATAGTAATAATAATAATAATAGCAATAATAATAGTATAATTACAAAATACGTTCGATCTGGCTTTCTTACAGCGTGCTTTGCTGAATCAGTCTTAACCCTCGGATTACCAAGCATCGAAATCTTTTGTTCTCTTTCCCCAGAAGCGGTTTTCTTTTTCCACCCCCACCCCCCCTTCGAAGCTTCGCGAGAGTTTCTCGTTGTCTCGAAAACAATCGATCGAACCGGCGATTCTCGACCGATAACCCGAAGGCTAATTAAACTATGAAACGGTCTAGAGGTATGTTACAGTGATGCAGGGGTTTCTTTTTCATCGCGTAAATCGAAACAATTGACTTTTACTCTGTCACGCGCAACAAAATACATATCTGCTTCGCGTCGCGGGATTTCCGGTTCCGGGGACCCGTGCCGCGACCTCAAGGTTCCTTTCTACAGACGCGCTCGTCTATCTGTTCTTTTTTCTGTCCTTTGTGTGTACATATGTGTGGTGTATGTATGTATATTGCGTGTTTTTCTGTGTCACGTGTTGTGTGTGTGCGCGCGCGCCTCTGTATATATTTATGTATATATATACATACATATATATGTATATATATATATATACTTTTTTTATTTATATATATAGATTCATTTATTTATTTATTTATTTATTTGTTTGTTTATTCATTTATTTATTCATTCGTTTGTTATATCCGCAATAATTAATATATCCGAACGCGTTGGCGCGTTTGCAGAGCCCATGGGCGCATCGGTTGCATGCATCTTTGTACAATTATCACTGGGACAAAGGGTGAAACATCGTTCCGGTTGTACTAAGTTGGTTAGTCGTCTCTTTGTACATACCCATCCGTACTCTGTTGTACCGCTATAATAATATACATACATAGTTTATATTTGTCGAGTGTCGGGTGCACTTTTACACGTTATAGTCGTGAATCCCGATACCCGGATGCACTCTGCAAACGCGAGTGTTTCGTGAACGCGCTCCACGGAAACGAGCGGGACTTTTATGCGCGAATAAAAAATAAACGATCCACGTTCTCGTTTCGTCAGAGTGCTGAGATCTGCTGAGGGTGTTGAACGACTTTCGTCCATTGTGACGCGGAACTAGTAGTCAGATAAAATACTATTTCGTCTTTTACTTTTACTTTTACTTTTACTGTTACTTTTACTTTTACTTTTACTGTTACTGTTACTTTTACTTTTACTTTTACTTTTTCTTTCTCCTTTACTGTTTTTTCTTCTTCTTCTTCTTCTTCTCTCGTCTTCTTCATCTTTTCTGTCTACGACACGCACGCGTCGCGCGCGCCTATTTATATTTGTATGTATGTACGTATATTGATTCGTCAAAAATCGGAAACGACGATTCCATAAACCGCTACTCGTGCGCCCACGCGTTTATTCGCCGCCGCTACGGTCGCGTTTTAATCCATGTGAAACGTTCTATCTTGTAATTTTTCGGGTAAATATAATCTTTCCCCTATAATGCATATTTCTCTTTTTTTTTTGCCGCTTTTGTTTTCTCGTCGATACTTTCCCCGCTATTGTATGCGTCTGCTATGTATTTATTCAAAGTTGAACGCGCGTTCGTCGCGATCGTCGCGCGACCGGAGCCTCTTGCGCGCGCTCGCTTCGTTCCGGCCATCAAAATAGTATCTTACCCACTTCTAGAAACTAGACAACGAGGATTCGAGGAGGATAGACGCGATTTTTTCCGGTTTCTTTCTTTTTAGGCACTTAAACGTCGGGAGTAGTGAGGGAACCTTAAGGCGGAGGTCCATCGTACGCCTATTTTCTATGTACAGTCTTGTCGGAGAGACGCGGGTTTCATCTTCCTGGAGGAATCGTGAATCGACGAACAACATCGCGCGATCCGCGTCAGAGTATTCGACGCGTTGCTCGGCTACTAATTCGAATCGGATCCGCGTTCACCGAGGTTCACGCGCGATTATCCAGATTACAATTGACCCGTACGTTCGTTTTGCGCGTTGCCGTATCGATTCGTTGGAGAATTTCTCGGAGGGGCAGCTGTAACTTTTCAATGATCGTAAAGCGAGAAAACGGAAACGATTCGTTCTCGGTTTGTTCGATAGTTCTAGGCGTCGACGTGTCGCGATGAGTTTTGCTTTTTTCTTTTTTTCATCCGATTTCCGTTCAATCACGCTCGACGAAATGGAATTATTCGCCGAGCAACGATACGGACACTGTTCGTCTCGATAAAAGAGTAACTGCCTACGCGATAACTAGCTAAAAATAAGCACAACAGCAAAACAGACATACCGACAACTCAACGACATTTACAAATGTAAAATTCGTTCTGCGCGCATCCGATGATATATTCAGACCGGACGCGTGCAGAATTAATCCGTATCACACTTGCACGCATACACGCGGCCAATACGGCACCGTGCAACTATATCAAAATACACGTATCTCCTACAGAGTAATCGATTCCTTTATATATACATATATATGTATACACACATATATATGTACGTACTATACATATTATGTATAAAAATTGAAGCGCATAGTACGATAATTCGCGGCCGCGAATAATAATTATAATTAATAGCGATATTCGATAAAGAAGAATTAATAGTCGATGCCAGCGTGCACGGCGGTCGACCGTGCCACGGTGGCAATTAATATTAATCAAACCGAAATTCATTATAATCGTTAGCGCGATATATGCGCCTATAAAAAATGGCATTGTATTCGTTTTTCATTTTACCTCGTTTCTTCCTAATTCTATTTACCGATTTAATCGTTTCTCGATACACAATTCGAATGCGTGTATATATATGTACATACACACATATGTATACATATACATACATATACACACACATACATATATATGTATATTATGCGCATAATCGTAACGCTGAAACAACTTTAGCACTTTGCGCTCCTTCGAAACGTTAATCGGTTCGAAAGTCGAATTGTCGATCGCGATCAAAACACGATGGATTTATTTCGATTTCGTTAAAAAGTCAAAAGAAAAAAATAAAACGAACTCTCCGCGACGCTCGAGTATCGATATCGACGACCTTTCGATCGGTGACCCTCAATGAGATTCATGAAATCGTCGTGTTACACCTTCGACGAGATTGAAATGTGTCGCCGCGATTTTGCTTTGTAAGACCCTAATAAATACGAAAGAAAAATAGGATGATCGGACGATCGTGTCCGCGATTTCTTATGAGGAGAACCCCGCGATTTTCTGACAGTACCGTGAGCCTTATCGCCGAGTTTTCGTGTAAAATGGTAAAGTTGTTTCGATACGGGATCGATAAAACATTTAATATAGATATATATTTATACATATACATATACATATATATATACATATATATATATATATATATATATATATATATATATAT